ATTTCTCCGCGTATCTCGCATAGGAAAAACTGCTGTGACCAGAATTTTGGCGAGAGTCTTTGTATATTTACCTTCTTTCATTTTCCAGATTCTGGACTTTATCTATTGACCGGTTTTGATTTTTATTTTGATCTATTTTGAATTGCGTGACACTGAAAACCAGCAATAACAAATGTCACAAATGTTTATGCAGATTACAATGATCGCGTGACATCACGAGGAGTGAGGTCACGCAACCACTGTACTCTAAATTAATATCATGATCATCATGAGTGCGTGACTTACCTGCATTCTCCACAAACTCGATGCATTTGTCAATAAAAACTGGAACATAAGATCCCGGTTCACAGATCGATTCCAGTGGCTGAGCAAAGTACGTGAAATTGTTGACTTTTTTCTGCCTACTTTCGAAGAATTTGTCGATTTTTTCTTTGTCTTTTCGTTTTTTCTTCTCTAGTCGTCTCAAGCGTTTCTCGTCTTCTCGTGACTTCTTTTCTTCTTTCTTCCGTTGTTTCAGCGCTTCACGCTCCTCGCGTGACGGCTTCTTTCTGGATGACGACCACGGCTAAAAAAGACAACAAAATCGATTTGAGAAACAGTGCGATGCTTTCTTATTAAGATAGATTTTTTTTTATTCGCCGCTAAAAAGCTGCCTAACTAGTTGCTTTCACCTCGAACCTTTTATCGCTTATAATTTATCTTGATCTGCATTTATTCCTCGAGTGCAATTGATGATTTCGTGACATAACAATCAAACTTTGCATTTTGAATACAAGTCGCTAGTCGCAGCGTGACAACATTTTCTCACTTGCGTTACACATCCCATTGCGATTGCGATTCCCACTCACCGATTTCCTTGGCTTGTGTCCCGGGGAGCCAGGGTCATCCTCCGTTTCCTACAAAAGAACACCGAGGGAATTGGATTTAGAAATAATTTATTTACAAATATATTATTTAGAAATATACTATTTAGAAATAAATTGTTTAGACATAAATTATTTATAACTAAATTATTTCTATGTTGAAAATGATTCAACCTGCAAACTCAAAACGTACCTCTTCGGTGCCCGGATCTGACTGTCGTTGCGGAAGATCCAGCAGAGTGGGCTACAATAAGCAACAAGAAACACGATTTACTTTACAGTAACAGACACGGCTACGGTCGCTACAGTGTAGTCTGTCAACGTAGACGGACTGTCACTTGCCGTTCCAAGCAAGCGGAAATCTTTTTGCTTTCGGAGGCCAGCTTTTACCACACCGAAGATGGTTATAACGCGCTTTCCGGGCTCCCCTCAAATAACCGTTGGTACCAATAGCCATTTACGCCCCACATTCCAAACGATCGTCAAATGACCAATTGATACGTCACTAATTAACATTCCCTTCGTTAGCCTCAAATAGCCTTATTTTAGGGGGGGAACTTTGATGAGCAAATTAAGCAGTAAAGAGACCGTTTGCAAACGCCACGAGATAGCGAATCCCTTCACAAGCCCTATTAACCTATAAGTCTAATAAGAAGGGCAGCACGCGCCCCATCATGTACGCACCCTGACAAGTCCTTTGTGTTTTACTCTCGCCTCCATACTGCTCGCCCAAGAAGACTCGTCCTCTTGGCTCGAGGACATTGTACCACCCTTCCTTCCTTCCTTCTTAGCTGAAAAAAAGAACCAATCAAGCCCAGTTAGTTGGCGCAGTTAGAAAGGTTTGAGACACGGATGGTTTAAGACTAGGAAAGATTGAGAAGGATTACAAAGGTGGACTTTGAAAAATCACAGCTGCAAGCAAATCTCTCTACCATCTATCTTTCTACTATGTTTTATTTTGTCATCAGGTCACGACAACTCTTCGAACCCCCCCCCTCCCCCACCCGCCCCCACTTCTCTCACTACTCGCACTCCATCCCTCTCCTTTCACCGCCACTCCTTTTCTCACCTGATTTTCTTCCAGGGAAGAGTTGTTTCTTGTTAGGCTGTGTGGGCACGTTAGGTGTGGAGGACTGGTTGCTTCGCGTGGTACTTCGGGAACGCCGAATCCCGCTTTTCTTCTTAGCCGGGCGTTCTTCAGTTCGAGGCAGAGTCGCCTCGTCCCCAGTGCCCTGATCGGAAGTGGCGCTGTAGTTTCTCTGTTCACGTCTTCCGGTGACTGGTCGACCAAACGTGTCTGAAAATTGCAATCAAAGTAATTGTGTCAGGAATACCGCGACGCCCGGCAAGTGTTGCACGAAGAAGAAACAAGTTGTGATAAATACGAAATATGGTACATTTGGAACATCAGCAATTTCGAAAGCTTCAATAATAGATGGTACATTTTGAAGCTTTCGACATTCTGATTCTAACCGAGGATGTGTTGTGTATGTGGCGTAAGTTTTGTGTCGCCTACCTTGCGACGGCGCGCTTAAATTGTGAGATTCGCTGTATACGTTTGTATACGAGCCCATCAGGACGGTGCTTATCTCAGTTTCAATAGCATGAAGTCACCAGCTGTATTTCTACTCTCACTGAATGAGATGCTAGTTCATTGCAGGGTAAACGTCCTCCCCGCCNCCCCCCTCAACCCAGCATTAAGTTTACACCTGGGTGGACAGAAGCACTGTCTTTCCCAAGAACACAACCCGGCCAGGGTTCGAACCCGGACCGCTCGATCCAGAGGCGAGCGCACTTACCAACTGATCAGTGTAACAGCCCACAATAAAGAACTTTTCTCACCTCGTCTTGATATTCTCTCCAGTGTACTAACGTCTTCAGCGGAATGCGCCAGCCTTAAAGAGCCTTTAGATGTGATCCGCGCGTGCTGTTTAGGCTTCTTGTCCGACGCGCTGGGTTCCTCCACCACTGCCACAGCGTAAATGGTTGGACGAGAATTCGAATTTGCCGACACCTTTAGTTTGTTCTTCAAAGCCTCTTGCACTTGGGCGTACTCGGGGTCGCTAACATCCTGGAAGAACGACAGCAACGGACACAGGTTATTTCTTTGTTTTGGGGTGCCTAGTTTACTAACTTCCCCTAACAACCTCCCAAACTTCCGCCCTCTCCGTTCGAGGAATAGATGTAGCCTCCCCGTCCCATTTCAAGCCTGCGAGGAAATGTTCGTAGCACCGCCTGCTCAGAGAGGGCCGGTTTGCCCAAGGTGTATGCAGTGTTTTCTTCTAGTTTAGATCGCACGTTTATGTAACAGTACACCACCCCCCATCCCCCAACTACACACCGGTTGTTTCATTTTGGACTTTTTGCTGCGGTAGTTTTTATTTTCTTGATTCTTTGAATGCGATTTCAGTTTGCACACCGAAAAAATAACGTTAAACTTCGCGGCATACACCATGTAAATGCTGCTCTTTTTAATCAGCAGAGGCAGATTAGAGATCGCAGAGGTTTAGTAGCACAATACGTTTTTACCTCCTGTTGCGCTAGCGGTGCCCCCATGTCTGAACCCTTTCTGTGTAAATCAGGCACTGATGAGCGCACCTCTCCTTGTCTGGCGTCCATTTTCACCCACACGTCCTGTCTCGGCAGCACCACTTTGTTATTAAAAAAGTCAATCTTCTCCTTGACGCGCAGAAAATAAGGATCTTCCACCGCGATGGAGGGAGGTCTGGGTTGGACATCGGCTACAGCAGCGTAGGGGTTCTCTTCTTTGCGGTCATCATTCTTGAACGTGTTATAGCCCTCATCGTCGACGCTCCTTAGCGTGTCTGTTCTGGAGTCCGCCGGTGGGAAGTCCTCGCTCAAGTCATAGTTCCTTTGGGGGAGGGGTGGTGAGGCTTCGCGCGTCGTGGGAGGGGTCTCTCGGGCGGATTTTTGCGACTGCACCAGGTTGTTGTTCGCGTAGAGAGTGTTCTCGATCAGGTTGACCTCACTGTCGTTCATGGTTAGATCTTTGGACTTTCTGAAGGATCGTTTCCTCGACAGGTCTACTTGAGCGTAGAGATCTTCTGTCTTGTTCTCTCTCTTCTGCCAAACGCTGTCACTTGGAGGGGTAGCCCCAGGTACTCCTCCACCCTGCTGGAGGCTTAGGAACAGCGCGTTCGGCGTCGATGTAGCGTACGGTTGTAGCTCGCCACTTCCTTTCGAATCCCTCGCCTGGTTGCTCTTGGCAGCGTCCACCGGCCTCTTGACGGAATTAAATACCGCGTACGGATTGATCTCCGCGTCATCTAGTGTCCCCTCAGACATGCGGTACACCGACTTTGGAGAGATGGGCTGCGGCTGTCTGTCGCTGAGGCTTCGTCTGCGGTTGAATTCGTCTTCGCTGTGCGCCGGCCTCTTGCTTGGCGGTTCTGGTAGCGGGTCGTTCCTCGATCGGATTGTATTGTTTTGTTGTTTCTGTGACAAGCGTAGGTGTTGTTCTGTCTGGAACTTCGCGTACGCCGCCTCGCTGTCTCTCTTCTTCTCCCATACTTGGTTGAAAAACGCAGCGAAAGCACCGGCTGCGAAAAAAGAAAAGAAAATAATACAGCTAAGTTAAAAACGTCACATCTACTACGCAAATCCTTGGCCGTTTTCGGTTAACTAGCTATAACCGTCTTCGGAGTTTTACTACCCTGCAAAAGTATTACTTAAACATATTTATTGTCTTTCTCAACGGAAATTTCCCAAGACTAGTCAGTTCATTTTGGAGCCGTTTCGAGAAAGTTAAAACCTTTTTTTTTTCAGACCTTGAGAAACTTTTTTTTTTTCGGTCAGCAAGTTTGTCCTCTTTCCTTTCCTCTTTGAAGAAAAACATGTACATGTAAACTATATCTTCTAACATTCAGGACCGGGTTGTTCAAAGTCCGATTAAGCTAACGCAGGATACGCGAAAATTTTGATGTCAGTTTTGTAACTTTGCGGTGAGGTTTTCTGTTTATATTGTTTGGCCTTCAGTTCTGAGTTTGAAAAAATATCAAACTACACAAAACACGAGAAGTGAAATACATGTAACTTATACCAGAAAAGTTCATACTTCCGATAACTTTTAATCCTGGGTTAGCGTTGACTACCTTTCGAACAACCCAACCCAGAGCATTACAGCGATTACCACACAAGTTCCATCTTGTGAAAACAAACCTTGATGCTGAAACTGCGAAGAAGTGGTCTGGAACTTTCCAAACAGTTTACTTGCCAGATTGGTGCCTTCAGCCAGTAGAGAGGCCGCTACATGGCTGTGAAATACAACACTAGCACCGGATGCGCTGCCTGTGACTGCTAGCACCTGGATGGGAACCTGCGGTATGAACCCTGAGAAGCCGCTGAAACAAAGTAACAAATGATTTCATTATAGGAGCTTAGTAATGTAGTTTTGAGTTTTTTTGTCCACCTACAAAATTACTTTTAAATTGAAGGAAACCTGGAAATAGTCATTTACTAAGATAGAAAACACCAAAGAGATAATAATTAACCACATGGGAACACGGATGGTTAAGGATGGAGAAGGTTAACACGGATTACAAATAACGAACTTGAAAAATTGAAAGCTAAGCTTTTCAAGATCCGCAAACCGTGACGTAGTTCGTTTAAGGGGGAAGTTACAGTGGGTTGGTTAGAAGGTACATTAAAACTTCTACCAGAGATCTAAGGTACACCTGGTCAACTTTGTGTTGGTATCAATATGATCTTACTCTAATGAATACGGGAAGGTACATACAAGTAGCAAAATAAGTTTGATTTCTCAAACTTCATACATTGACATTAAGTATGCTACTGCGAAAATCTCTCTTAGACGCGATTCTACTTCCACCCTCCGTACCTCTCACCCCTGCCAAAGATAGCTCGGTAACTTTAGAAGCAAAACCATAACTTAGCACATGCTGAAATTTGTTTTAAAGTATGCTGATCAATGATTTGCTAAAAAGTCGCTCCGCTTTTATACGGGACCCAATCTAGTAAAACCTCACCCACCCACCCCTCCCTACAAAACGGAAAGGCCAAGAAGAACTGTGTTTCGGTGTAGAGAGATATCTAACTGCCTCTGGGTCTGACAACAAAGTTATTGCATTACCTAAGGGTTCCTAGAGAGGCCTTTCGTATTGCCGAGTACACTAAGATGTAGCCGTGGTACATTTGGTAATTGAGACTGTACGCTCCTGCAAAGAACAGTAGACAATAATTAAGACGTGCCTCAAGCAAAAAGGAGATGAACACCTTTACATTGTACAATGTATACATGTGATAAGGAGAGTACGACTGAGCAGGCATGCGGTGTTATGGCTTGCACTTTGATAATTCCAAGGGTAGCAACTTTTAACCCTTAACTGGAATCATTTTGCTCTGTTTATTGAGCAATTTATAGTGTACTTTTTCTCTCTTCATTCACTTGTGTTTAGAGTCTGTAGTGGGTAACTTTCCTGAAAAAATCCTCCCAATCTTTTTGGGATACTCAAATAACCATGAAAAAAAGCGTTGAGTGAAAACCAAACCACAACACCACAGCAGTGTACAAATAAAGTTGTTTTTTTTCAATTTCTGGTTTTCTTGTACATAATAATCCCCTGCAGCCTCCTATTGTGACGAAAAGTAATGATTATGAATAAATAATGTAATCAAATGGCTGCAAAAATGTTACCCTTACTCACTGCTAACTTGTGCCTGTACTGTAGACTACTGAACACTGCTTCACAAGCATTTACTTTTTGACAAGAAAGCTCTGACTTACTGTGGTAGGAGGTCAGTGTAATCTGCACTCGTCGCTTATCAAACCCAAGATAAGTTTCCAGGATGATAGTGTCTGGCCGGGTAGAACTTCGCCAACAGTTTTGATGGTGAAGCAGTGGCCCTAGAATCAGCTCCACTGGGTAAGGATCTCCGCACATCGCACACAACACAATCCTGAAATAACATTTATGACAATAAAACAACTTAAAGCCAGAGCATTTGTGCACACAAGTTGCATGTGTATATCGTGGCCATAGAAAATATCAACTGAATAGTTAAAGCTCTATTTTGAATGTACATGTAGACACGCTTAGCTGTATTTATAAGTGTGCATGAACTACAATATACTGTATTCAAACAGTGACCATCATTGTATCTCTTTCTGGCACAGATGCTGTAGACGTGTACCTCTATTTTATCTTGTTTTCAGTTACTTTGTTTCACATAATTACACAGTGATGTTGACAGTGCACCATGTTACGTATATTATACCATTAAGTTATAGATTACGTATATTATACCATTAAGTTACAAGTTGGCACTGAACCTTTAAAGTATTGATCGCTTGAAAGAGTGTTGATTGTCCTATTGTTTCCTTGCATGAAGTGTTTTTGTGAATATTATCATTATCATTATTATTATTATTATTATTATTATTATTATTATTATTATTATTATTATTACGTCATTAAAATTGACATTAGACCACGCCCAGTGAGTATTTATAGTGATCCTGTATGAAGCGGCCAATTCCTCAAGTTCCGAGGTTGGCCATTACATACAGGTTCGACTGTAAATGCACACATATACATGTACTATACATCTCTGGATGTCGAAGTTACATCAATTCCTTACTTCAAATCTGGTTCGCTCTCCTTCAAGTCCTCTATTGACAAATTCGTGCGGGCTTGTTGTTTCAAATTCTCCAGCAATCCTCGCATGGCATCCACGACTTGTGTTTCATGAATCATCTTGCCAGGGGAGAAACGGGCCACAGGTAAATCAATGAAAGTTGCACCATACCTGAAACAAAAATAATATTATCATAACAATTGATAAAATAAACTTGGAATAAAAGATAAATGTAATTACCAGTCAATTAAAACTAAGTTACATGAGGAAGAAGAGATGGTGTGGTGTTGAAAATGCAAGTATTCAGATTGTTGAGAGTCAGGGGTTTCATTTTAGGGCCAGGCACCGGGTGAATTCACCACATGTGAGGAGGACTTTGCCCACCTGTTTGATCATCTAGAGGAAAGTTTTTCTTATGAAGAAGTTTGGTTCAAAACGTTTTGCCTGCCTGTAGAAACCAGTTGCTCTCCTGCTGAAAATGTTCATGACACCCCTGAGAGTACAATCTCTATTTACTCAATACAATTTCTAACGAGTCAATTCAAATTCATTTTGCTGAATAGATTTGAAATGTTTTTATGCAACTAGAAGACTCTTGTCTTCAGGTCAAAACAGATTGTCAATCATAGTTGCCACTGACTTTTCCCTTGCTTTTCCCTGGTATTAAATCAGCGCTGTTAAAAATTTCACTTTTCTTTTAGCTAGCTTTTCTTCAAAACATCAATTTTCCCTGATCCCTTGATCTGTGAAACCCTGAGATTGATTCACAGTTTAAGTTACAAATTTTAAAAAATTAGAAGGAATCCACCAGAAGTCCGAGTAACAAGTGGACAAAAACTTTGTACCAAGATCATTTACTGTTTTGCAAACTTTTTTAAATATCTTCTACAAAGAAATCATTTCTAACAACACCAAATGTCAAAAACAAACGTTGAAGTTGATATGAAACACTTGAAAGTACTGGTGAAATGAAACTGATGATGAAATTTCGCCTGTGTTTGCACAATTTCTCTGAACCTTGAAATTTTTTTCGCGAGTTCCCATGGAAAATTGTTTTCAGTGTTATTTCAGACAAATTTTTATATCTTTAGCTTTTAGAAAATGCAAAAAGGACTACATGTATAATATACATGTACGTATAAGTTTATACAGTGTAATATTTATGTCTATTTATGTTTAAGTTTGTAAAATACATGTACATGTACATATAAAAGTTATTCTGGTACAAGGGTTTTGTCCACTTTAAACTTAAATTGCTCAATTTCCTATTGGGTCTCATCTTAGCCTGCAAACAATTAAATTTTGACCTACATCTAAATGTTTGCAAAAGCAGTACGTGTGTACCTGGAGGCTAATTCTTGGCCTTCCTTCCTCAGTTGATGAATAATATCGTCATTGTTAGGATTCCGAGCAAGGATTAAAAATGTCGGAGGAGGAAGCTGCATTGGGTTTGAATCATCAATACTGTCGTACTTGGACCGTGTGGTCATTTCATCCAGACAGTCACGAACAAAGTCAAGAGAAGTGAGTGAGCCATACACACAGAAGCAGCCTAAGAGAATTGAGAGAGGAATTCAGTTACACCAGAGGCATAAAACAAATAATTTCAAGCAGTAAAACAATATTTACGTTGTAATCTATGTTTGCTGAAGCAACAACCACTTCTTGTGAATATAGCACCACTCGATGCCAACCAGATTATTAATAGAAGGCTATTTTTCCTCACACTAATTTTGCTATATTGTAGATTGTTTGAATTTAATTATTTGTAACTCTGGCTTGTAACAGATACATATCTTAATGTTTTTACTAGTTTTGCAAGTCATATTTAACTGACTCAGCTCTCTGTAAATGAACTTGATAGAAGATGATGCAAAGCAGAGCATATTTGAGTTACCTTGTGTCGTCAAGTCACTGCCAGCAAACGCGTATTCTGGAGGATCCATGTCCCCATCAACCACTTGGTATTCCAGTTCATACATGCGTCCATCAAGAGCAAATTCCAAACCATCTGGGTCTCCATAAGAACACTGGGTCTGAAAAGGCAAGAAAGCTACATCAGATTCCCTGCAAACTCTCCGTAAAATGTTCTATACATTGTCATACAGTCAAAGGATGAGAATTACATATCATCTATCACAGCATGCAAAGGCAAATGCCAAGAGAGACATGGCAAAGAATGATGGACAAGGAGAGAGAACATCTCAGTTTCAAGACATGGAGGGAGGCAGAGGTAGCAGCACAAGACTGAGTTGCTTGAAGGAGACGAACTCATGGCCCCATTCTCCATGAGGAGAGAAGAAAAAAAATGATGATGATGATGAGGGTCACGTACTTAGTGATTCATTTTCTCTAAACTATTAATGAAAGTAATGAATGACAACAGCTAACGAGAATTGAATGTTTGGAGTTGGGGTTTGAGGAAATGACAAAAGGGTGGAAAAAAAGTACATGCATCTGATAACCTGGGTTTAGTTTGTGTCATTTATGTTGTACACTTGTACCATAAACAGTAGAATGAAATTACTTTTACAAAGTACATGTAAAAGCCCATTGATTGAGCAGGCAAACATTAAATTCTCATGTATGCTCCAGTTTTATGCCAAGTGAAAGTGACTATGGCCTTAGCAACACTATCTTTTTTTGGTTTTTATTAATAACCCATAACCAAGATAAGCCACATATTCATTTTTCAGTATCCTGAATTTTTGATGTTTGTTTATTTGTTTGTTTGTTTGTTTGTTTGTTTGTTTGTTTATAAGTTTGTTTTAAGGCGTCTTTAAATGCATGTCGGTTTTGCCACTCCATGGCCTTTCAAAGCCCATGCACTTAGTTTGAGAAACAGATAAGCATCTGCAAACAGATGCAATGATTTCTATGTACATGGCTTTCAACTCTTTGATTGGCCACAAAAATTGGAAAACTGAAATCAAGTCCATTCATCAAAATGTAAATAGAAAAACAAAACATAATAAGATTTGTTTCACCACAACCTAGATACAGGGGTTTCATTAAGGTTTTCAAGAGGGTAATTGGTTTTCACAGGCAGGTAAAACCATTTTGTTCCAAACTTCTTTGTAAGAAAACTTTCCTCCAGATGGTCAAACCAGGCAGGCAAACTCAAGCTCACAACTGGTGAACTTGTACTTCTGCAGATCTATACACCGCATACATGTATATACATGTATGTTTAAAGTTTTGGGCCTTCTGGCAGGGTGTGCGAGTGCAGGACCACAAAATTTGGTCAAACCTGCGCAACTCTGCACAATTCCTAAAAATCCACAAAATTCCACACAAAAAGACAAGAAACAATTGACCAACAATTGACAAGTGAGACAAATAATTATAGAGAAATCAACATTTGAACTAGAGCAACTGGAATGATATGTGTGTACACACAGGTAATGTATTCCTCTAGATGCCAGTTTCCCCACAAAAACATTGCACAATCCTACACAATTGACCCTGTACCCTGCACAATTTGCCTCCAAATCTCTGCAGGATTTTAATTTTTTCTTCTACACCCTTACGTACCCTGATTTCACTTTCCATTGCTTGGGCGAAACCTCCACTACCCAGAATCAACAGGTTAATCTGGCTGTCTTCACTGTCCAGTGTTTCACTACTGTCCATGAACTGAGGCCTGTAAATCAACAACAAATGAGTGACTAACATGCCTTACTTCTACTTTAAGCAAAACCATACTACATGTACACTTTACCAGTAATTTCAGGACAGGAAAAATGTTTTGAAAGCCAGTTGCCCAGTGGGCCAGTACATTTCACTTTTCAGTAGCCCCCACTAAAATATTGCTTGCCGAATAAGTGCCCAATGTGTATGCCTTACCAACTACATCATTTACTGGGTAGTGTCTATAATCAAGTATGCTTGGATTTTAAATTAATCCATACTTTCAACCCATTGTTTTGCTCATCTGACTTGGTTTTGATCGAAAATTATTCCTAACAAGACTACTGAGGCTAATTTCACTTGCCCACCAGACCACCAAACTGCTATTTTCACTTGCCCAGAAGCAAAATTTACTTGTCCTGGGCTATCAGACCTGGGTTTGGTTACGGTAGAATCGCAATTTCACAAACGCTCTATTTTCAAACCCGATAACACTGATCAACTCGTTTCCCACGACTCAGGTCAACACTATATTTTATGCCAGTTTTCTCAAAGTATTTCTCAAACTAATTTTCATTTCCCTTGGAGGATCAAAACATTAGAATTCCATTGTATTTAGGCCCTCTACTTTAGCACTTGTTTGACATCTTATGTCGATTAATGAATATACACATCAGTACATCTTCATAATAATTACTATCACAGTGTTCTCAATTAATGTCCTAACCTATAACAGCTGTATGGGGTATCACTGATAAGTTTAAGTAATATTTACAGCTGTAAGCAAAACAGTGGTGTGACACAAAGTAAAGAAAGCCTATTGGGTGTCTGAAAAACCCGAATAGCGAACAGTGAGTAGTCGTGAATAGCAAATAGCGAATAGTCCTGAACAGTGCAAATGATGGCAAACAGTCGCGAAAAGTGACGTATAGTCGTCAATAGTCACTGCTTTAGATCTTATATCCTGCATTAATTAATTATCCAAATAGGCAACAGAATTTCAGCGAATTTATTACCTTTTCTTCTCCCGACTCAGGCTAGGGCTGTCTGGACATCGCCGACATTAAGAAAACAGAAAACACAAGGATAACCTAATAACGATGTATTTACGCTTTTGCAGCAGTTAAAACAGAAGAAATCATGTTTAGAAACACCTTTTGTCCTGATAAGTGTCTGTGCTTTTTAGTGGGAAAATCCCATCCTATGTTGCTGCAAGGTTGACTGTGAGATATTGGGTACCCTATTTGCTACGATTTGCCACAATTTACAACTGTTTGCCACTATTCATCACTATTCAAGACTGTTTGCCACTATTCGCACTATTCAAGACTATTCACACTATTCGTACTATTCGCTATATTCACTATTCAGGACTATTCGCTGTTCGCTATTCACGACTATTCGGGTTTTCGAGACACCCAAGCCTGTTGGACATGAGACACTAGTAGGATCGCATTTGATGGCCCTTTTGCACCCAACCAAAGTAAGCCATTTCACTTGTTGAATCAATTGATCAGTGGACCCAAAAAATGGCAGAAAAATTTTGAGGCAATTTACAGAACTACAATACATACTATACGGTGGAAATGTAGATCTGTCAAAGTGGTCAAAAGATAATTTCAGCACTGGTTTAATTCCTGATTACATCGAATACAAATATTTTGCCGGCAAGCCCGTGGCAACCAAAAATTTTGGTTTTTGTTTCGCTGCGAAGGAAAAATTTTAATGACACTTTTTGGCAACCACATTTTTCCATATGGCGACTGCAAAAAAAATTTCAGTCCCCAGTTGGCGCCTGCCGAAAAAAGTTAATTTCGGACCCTGCTATAACAGTAGTGTTTTAGAAATAAAGTTGTCATTGAGGTTATATTGGACAGACAGCTAATCAAACCATGGTCATATGCAAGGAATTACAAAATCAAAGCATGCATATCAGACATCATTAAAGAAAACTATTACACCACCAGTGCACATACATTAAGATTCTTGATGAAAATTCATATATTCCTTTCTGAAAACCATGGACAGTCTCAGACCAGTCTGATTAAACAATATACTCAAATACCTAAATTAAAGTATCTTGTCTTGAATTTCACGCCTTGATTAAAAAAAAAAATGTGTTAAGATGTGACTGGTCATAGTCAGTTACAAACATGTACATGTACCCAACTTAGGCAGTGGTGAAGAAAAAAATGACCTTTTTTAAGCCTGAAAGATATTCCCATTCAAGCTTGAAGGTCTTTCAACCATTTTAACAACTATCAATTAATTGTATACACAACTGTAAGTAGTAAGTAAGTAAGTAGTAAGTAAACTTTGTTTGATAAGTAGGTTGTAGAGGGGATTTGGCAGCCGAAGGGCTGATGTGGACCTACTATACACAAAATATAAAATTTTACAAACACAAAAGATATTAACAAAAGAATAAGAACTATGTACAGGGGAAAATTAATAATCATATATACATATTTGATTCACTAGAACCTAATTAAGACAATATTGCCAGAAATTAGACAGATCAAAAATAAATAAAATCATCTTTTTTTGCAGTGATCAAAGTTGCTTCCTTGCTGAAAGAAAACCCAGCAATGTCCTTGACATGTTTCTTAGATATCTGCTTGTAAGAATAAAAATTTTCAGGTACATGTACTTTAACTAATCTATTTAAAAAATCCAGATCACAGGGCCTCTGTACTGTAAAGTGTTTCCTCCAGTATCAGATTTAAACCTAATGATATTAAATTGATTGGGAAAGCGAGATGACCTAGAAGTTGCATTTTTAGAGAAAAGTTAACAAACAGATTGGTTTGAAGTTTCAAAGTACACTTTGTGGATTAACATAAGAACGGACTTTTTATAAAAGTAAGAGAAAGGGAGCCAGTTCAATTTAATGAAACAGATGTCATCAGCAAGCGACGGTTGAAGGTTGTTTATAATATGAGAAGCTCTTGCGTGGATTAAGTTCAGAGAATTCACTGCAGAGGGGGAGCAATTTCCCCATACTGAAATACTATATGTTATGCTGGGAATAATAGATTTGAAGTATAATTCCTCAAGTGACTGTTTAGGTAGAATTCTCATTCTCTTTAGTGCTCCAATGTTTTGTGTGAAGTGCTTCTTCATAGAGTCAATGTGCACAGACCAAGAAAGTCTATTGTGAATTTAAACTCCTAGGCAAGTTGTAGAGTCAACCAGGTTAATTAACTGTAACTGTAATGGTCAGTCACAACGCTTAAATCTTTCCCCCAAAGTATGACATGTTTATTTGCAAAAAAATGACAATACTTAAACCCATATGACTGTTGACATATCAAATATTTCTCATTCTCTTACCCCAAGGCTACATGACCCTACATCATAAACCTAACTGAAAGTGCTGAATATGAAGAGAAACCTTCTACATACACGGATGAAAATGTTACATGGTGATTTTCAAGATAGCACTTAGCATATAAGAGCCAAACATTAATTAAGTTAACCATTCTTTTCCCTGGTGAAATGTAAAATGACTTTTTTTCTTGTGGAACTTGGTTAATAAAGGATGGCCATGGGCGCTTTGTCACATGCTTAAGACAATCGATTTGTTTTCTTCTTTCTTTGTAAAGTACAATCTGCTAAAACCACCACAGGCCATTCAACCAACATAACAATTATGTCAATGAAGTCACAGCCTTCCTTTAAATTAGTTTGCAATGGATTGTAACTTTTGGACATGGTTGAAACTTACAATTAAAATGAACACATCCATGTCTGGGAAAGATCAAAACATGGATAAAATGTAACATGGTGTTGTTATTTTATCTGAAAAGTTGTTTGGTCTGGGCTTTTACATTTTCAAATTGAAGATATTATTCTAGTTTTTCTGTTTATTCTACCTTTGTCGGAACCACATTTCAGACATAAATTGAAGCAATCTGTTATTCTGTTGTGTGGGAAAGCATACAAAGGTTAATGTTACATTCACTTTTTGCAAAACACTGTACTGCTCATCTGCTTAAAAAAAATCAATTTTTTAAGCGAAGTGAAACATTCGCTTTGTCTTATTAAAATATATAATTTATGTATTTCCGCATGACAACAACAAAGTCACAACTGCATCAAGTTATCTCAAACATAAACCCTGTAATAAAGTAAACTTTTACTTCCACCGAAACTGAATTCTTCAAACCGATTGCACGGCAGTGTTCCAACGCTTGTTATTGTGCTTTGTGTAAACAGAGACAGGTGTACAGTGCATGAGATATTAATTTTCATAGATAAATTTGTAACTTTAAATGACAATGCAAAACAAGGAATTGTGACATGCAGTGCATCGTGAATTAAATAAATGAAAAATTAAGCCTTCTCAGACAGAGAAGCTTAGAAAAATTGATATTATAATTCTCTTGTCAGACTTGATTACCATATGAAAGGAGAAACAAATGAACCGCAAATGGCAAAGGAAAAGAAAGTTTAACAGAGTTTCAAGCACAGAAGATGAATAAATTACAAGTCTTTTAGCTGACAGAATCTAATAAAAAATAATGCAAATGAAGATAAAAAAAAAGTATTATTTTAGTCTGTCCGTTTTGGCTGCCTTGTAACAATATAAGACTGTTAAAATTAAATTGTTGTCTCTGGTTCTTTTGGAAGAAGTTCTAGGTCTGTGATTGGTACAGACCCTCTTAAAAGTGCAAAGCATCTCTTGAAATGATTTTACTTATCCAAAACAGCACAAAAATGAAAAGGTAGACATACTAGGGACAACTGCCGAGTATTTTGACAGCTAAACAGATTTCATGCATGAGAAATCTCCAACAAGGAATTTATGTACATATCATTTGTGAAATTACCAAAACAACCTTCTGCTGAATGGAAAGTGTGAAAAGAACATGCATAACAACAACACAGCCCCATTGGGTTTTTACATTGGAATGTTGCAGCTTCTGTCAAAACAAGTGCAAATATTTTGAAATAAGAGCTGGCAAATAAAATAACGAACTTCAAATCTCTGTGTACTTATGGAATATTTCAATCATTTGCAGAACGTGGAACGTGCATAAAATTAAGAGAACTCACTGAGCTCGGACAATGCTTCGAATATCATATAAAATGTAAAATAAAACCAGTGATTAAAGTTGAACCGATTAAAAATTAGAAAATATACGCCACCCGGCGAGCGATCTAAAAGTGGTTGAGGCATGATAATCGTAATGGAGTTAAATTGACACCGTTGAAACTTGCATCTTTTCGAAGACAAAAGTAACGCTATTCAGTAGATAAAACATTACCTGTATGTGGTTGTGGCCACAATCTCCTGCATGAGCCGATCTCGACACCTCTCCGCTCCGCTCAGACATCTCGTTGGACTGTACAACAACGCAATGTGATTTATCAAACCAATTTCCCGATCGCTGTCCAGTTTATCAAGCTGTTTGTAGCGATCGTCCTCGCTCAGCGCTTCTTTGATTACCCTCATGTCTTCTTGAGAGATCGAGGGGCGCGTATTGGGTTCCAGTTTTGAAAACAACCCTGCTGATTCGAATAACAATTCTTGAAAATCGGCTTTGGCTTTCTCGGTTATGTCTCGTCGATAGGTGTCAAAAATTTTTGTTTTGTCTGTGTCGTTCAAGTACTGAAAACTTTCCTCGTTTTCAAGAAGTACCGCCGCCTCTAACCAGCTTGTACCCGGTCGAATTTGCGGCGTAAGTTCCAACAGTTTTCGAAACTCGTTCATCATTCGAAGGCGTTTTTCCTCGGCTTTCAACTTCTCCGCGTGGTTTTGAAACACTTGCTCTGCTCGCGGGAGAGACAGAATATCAAAGGGAACACGTGGATCGTCGCTCAGTAAATGATCGCTCTCATTCCACGCCGTTTCCTCGGGCAAAACGATCATCCACTTTTCAAACTCTTTGTGATTTCGAATCGCCTTTTGGCAATTTTGCCAGTTCCAGTGGCATAGATCCATCGAGGATGCACTCGGCATTAGCTCGTCCAAAGCACTAGGCAGCCTCGATAAGTAACCATTCAACTTTCTCTCCTCAAACTCCTTCCTCAGTTTGCGAATGTGTTTATTGAATAGTCTCTTGCACGCTTCCGAGCCGCAAAGATCGCGGTGTGTTTGAAATTCCCTTTCATTTTCGATCAACTTCTTCGTGTTTTTCCAGATCACACGAAAGTCGGTCACTGTCCTATCTATAAGGCGTTGAAAATCCTGTACAGCTTTTTCTAATAATTCTCGCTGAGTTCTCTGCGCCTCTGTGAAAGGGATGACTTTCGAACGCGCCCTTCCACGTTCTATAAGCTGCGCCAACATTAGAAATGCTAGGTCAACATTTACGTTCTCGTGAGCAGAGGTTTCAACGATGGGAACGTTCAACTTTTTCGACTGAGCAAAACGATGAACCTCCTGAAGTAAATTAAGCTGTGTATCATCGCATTTCGTTGCTACGAGAACGAAAGGCTTTTTACTTTTCTGCACGTAAGTCAGAATTGATGACAACAGCCGCTCTTGCTGTTCTTCGAGCCGTTTGGACTGCGTCGCTTCGGCATCATACACGACGAGAAAGCCATCGATAGCAACCTTCCCACCAGGTAAATTAACTTGTTCGTAGTCATTCTGCAAAGCCACCTGATCTCGACTAATATACATCAACTTTTCGGGGGAAGAAAGCTTTGAAATCGCGCAGCGTTTAGGGTACGGCGTAAGTTGCCCACCACGCGACAAAGGCATAAGAGTGGCATCGTCAATAAATTCACTCTGCTCTATCACATGAATAAGAAATTCGCTGCCATCCTCTGCTGTCTTCGTCGAATGGCCCCAGTACAAAAACTGGTCGTTATTCAGCACTCGGCCCCCAAAGTCAGACGTACTGAACACCGAAGAGTGCTCAGTAATATATTCGTCGGCCAACGGCCGCACAAACCGATTACACAAACACGACTTTCCAACGCCAAAAAAGGCTTGATCTCGATCTAATCCAGACAAACCCACAACAGCAACGTTTACGCTCCGTGGTTCACTCCCTTTCTTGGACATAACGAGGCTTCGAAGCCGAAGATGCAAGCGTTCTTTGCCGCGACCACTATCTCCAACAATTCGCCGCCATTTTTGATTTTTCTGTGTTTGATAAATGAGAGGAAGTCACGTGACCTATGCTGTAATGCACAGCCGGGTTGCAAAAATATCACTGAGGTAAGTGGGCTCAAATTTCTCGTTTGGTTGGCGGCGAAAATAGCCTCGAGCAGTGTATGAGTCATACACGAAAACACTAAACAATACGCAAAGTGGTACTCGTTTGTCAAAGAAGCGTTTTATGCGTTCCGGAAGCTTACAAAAAATGAGCATTCCGCACAGGGGAGGTGTTCATAAACACCGGAGAACGCGGTATTTCGTACAAAGCGCGCGGTTTTTTTCCAGAATGAAGAGCGACTTTGACCTTTTGTACTGAGTTCAAAACTGAGCTGTTCTATATCTGTTAGTCGAATTAATCAACAGACGTTTGTAATCGTATCTCTCAGCTTCGGGTTTTAACATGCTAAACCAAGTCGCCTCGCGTTAACACATCTGCATTCTTTCTGTATGACACATTCTCTGTTGTTCTTACAGCGTTTGTTTGTTCTTTATCGGCTTACAATCTTTACAATGACTTCCTTGCCAAGTTTATTACCCTCTTGTACTTTCAGACGCCCAATTCACAGTATTGTTTGTTCCTTACTGCTAATTACATACCACCAAGCCAAAAAAAAAAAAAAAATCATGTTCAGCGCCAAACAACGTACTCGAATAGCAGACATCTTGCTTGAAGCCCCGGGAAAGTTCTTCACTGTTATATTGGACTTTCGATAATTGCATCAATGTGGTATTATAGTGGTTTAATTTCGTTAATAATGCACTGTCGTTTAACAATGCGCTTTTTTCAGTATTGCCATTTAATAAATTAAACCTGCGGCTCGCTCTTTGGAAGACCCAAGCTTGTGTGAATATTTCAAACATTTGAGAGATGCGCCACGGTTATATAAAAAGTGGTTTCCTAAAGATCGTCCAAATCATTAATAAAGTTTAGTTCCAACGAGTCAGCAATATCAATCTAACAGGAAAAAAATTACCATGTTGATTTTGGAGTATAATATATTGTTTCCCTAAGAATCACGGAACCGAAGTGAAGCAACAATATATAATAATGAAGACTTAAATACACTGCAGTTTAACATCACGGTTACCGAGAGAAAAATAGATAGCGCTTTCCAGACATCATTTAATTACATGAATTCATACAGTTTCCTGGCAAATATTGTTGTGTCTATATCTCTTATAGCGCCGATTTTAATTATCACGCGAATAATTGGAAAATCGCATGAATTACCCCGTACATAATTAGCTAGCAATCTTTTAACCGAGTTTGGCCCCGGTGTTCGATATTTATATTTTACCTGCTCACGGCCGTTGTAGAACTATGAAGTTGTCGTTAGTGGAATTCGGACTATTGTATTTGCATGGAGGAAGAAAGGAAGGAAACGTCTAAGATAGAGTTTTAAAGATTTTTTCTTTGTTATAATTACTAGCAGCAAATCGGCATCTCTGCCGCACTTCAATTACCGCAATACAAGTAAAAAAATAGACTTTTTTTCTTGCACATACAAGTCCTTGCAACTATAGACTTGCTATAGACTCTGGGGCTAGACTAGTCAAGCTAGATCCAGTGGAGCGTGCAGTTCTATAGGGCAACCTTAAAGTCCATTGAAAAAAAGCATGAGGCAAAGAGGTCAGTGCCGTAGAGTGACTTTCCATCTCCAGATGACATTTTTTTTTTTTCAACGACTTCCCTGAGCAAGAATAACTTATTTAATATGGAAGTTTTAAATTCAGTCAATTCTACAGTGCATCAACCGCTCTTTGAACTATATGTAACTGATAATAAGATTAAAAGAACATTAAAGACTGGCAAGTTAAGGTATAAGCTAGTTATTTACCCTTATTGAGGACCGGACATAATTAGGCTAAATCCAATTAGCGAGAGAAGGAATAAAGGAAATGTTTAGTTACGTCGGCTAGCAAAAATCCACGAGTGCACTTCTTGGTCATACATCTTCATAATCATTAAGTTTCGTACTTCTGGAATCAGCTGGAATAAGAGTCATGGGTACCGTAAGCCGCAATTCATGACACACTCAGATGCTATGTAATAGTGCTTCAGCTAACTTAATGCTATGTCACGATAGCATTTTAAATAACTACAAGCTGTATTACGTCAAATGGCCCGCATCTTGAAATAATATTATCAAAATCATGTAATTAATACGCTATGACTGGGTCTCTTTTTAAACATATCTGAGGAAGTATGAAGTAATCAACCCCGTTAATTTAGAAATCCTTCGTCAGCTCAGTGCGTCCCAGCCGGGGCTTTTCTCCTTCCAAATACGGTACGGAGTGGAAAAAGTCCCCAGGGGCAAGGTTCAGGAATCCCGGCGTGATCATAATATCATTGCAGTGACCCTGTTTCAGATCCTGAATTAAACGATTCCTTGCCGTCCCCATGATTGTTATCTGGGATCAGAATTCCACTGTTTGATTACACCCGCTTTTGTTCTTTGTTCTGGTTATCTTGGTGCAAAATGTTAACACTTATTACAAGCCTGAATTTAAAACTGAATTTCCGCTGGCACGGACAATCAACAAAAAGTCTCAAAGGGGTGGTGGTGGGTGGCCTTTACGGCTAACGGTTAATATTTTGGCTTTGTAACGGGTAACGGTTACTTGATTTACTTTCCTTACTGTTAAGAGGAACCTTAAATTAATTACCGTTGTTTTAAAAAGTTAAAACTCACCTTTCATTCTTGAACGTTAAAAATTTATTTTCAACATTGTAAAACAAATTTAAAGATGCTAGAACCATTCCGATTGGGATGGGAAAAGTTATTATAAGAATATAGACTGATGATAGTTTACAAGACTTACAAGCCACAAGACAAAACACAAAAATGTCTTGGCAAGAGGTCTTGAGACTTTCACGGTGGCTAACAGTTTTTTACGGCTACAAGGGTTAAAATTTTGGCCCGTTTTACGGCTAATGGTACGATCGATATCGTAACCCTCCGGCCGAGGCAAAGGTATGCTCGCAAACCAAGAAGGAACTCTTTAGCAATGCTGAAAACCAAAAAGGGCTGAGCTGTGTGCATACTTGTAGGGTAAATTGGGTCAAGCCTGCTACGGAGATATATATCTTGTGTAACCTTGTTTGTAATGGTTTGTTCAACCAAAAAAACGTTTGTGATTTGACGTGGCGAGTATGAACGTACAATGAAAAACAGGATGTGCACGCGCCTGACATATCCCACGCGCACCACATGCACTAGCTGTATTTAGACTTATTGTGGTACAAATTCACCGCCGAAAACCAATTCATTGTTCACGCGTCTCATGACGTTGCTGACATACAGGTGATGGCAATTTAAATGTTGCTTCCTTGTTGAGGCTAATATTATTGAAGCAAAGATTGATTCCTTCTGTAATTACTCCACTATGACATCATAATTTTAAAATTTTAATTTATTACATGCATTGTACTCGCTATACTAGCCCCGTTGTGACGGTTATGCCCGGAGCGAATTCAAATTGATATATGAACGCATATATACACATTTATGAGCAGAGGGTTGCACCAGCTGAAGAACGACACAATTTGGAAATTCCAACATGAAAAGCAAAATGGAAAGCTGTACTCAGAGTTCTCGTAACGATCCCGCCTAATTTTAGAGACACTGTCAGAGACATTCTAGATTCTGGGCATGTCAAATGTAGAACTCACTTGTATGAAACTGCGGATTGATTAAGGACCTACAGAGAGTACCAGCTATCTGACAACTGCTTTGGCATGACGAAATGAAAGACATTACATATCAAAGAACACTGGCCAAGCCCTTAGAGTGCCCATGGAAGATAAGTAATATATCAAACACGAAAGATCGTACATGTTTGACCACATTTCCAAACACCGAGAAGAGAGTTGAAAATACGACGCGTAGCGAAGTATTTTTGACGAACTTCGAGGTCTGAAGTCTGAAGGTTTGATACATCTTCTCGATCGAAACCAAAACTAAGGAGAAAACGGAGAAATAAGACCGTAAAAATCTATGCTAATTAAGATCAGATATCCAAACACTGCCACGGTCATGATTTCCTTTGTTTAAACTTGATGAATTATTAATGAGTTTACATTTTGATTGTTTGTTTTTCTTGCGCACGTCCTATGACATGCTATGAGATTATTTCGGTTATACAGTATTAGATTCAATAATGCACTAAGTTATGAACAAAAATTTGTAGTAGCTTATTTATACCATGTACAGAAATAACTCTTTCCACCCTGTAATTAAGAACCAGTTTAAGCACCTGCTCAGCCTGTTTTCTCAACAGACGTACAGTATATCTGGAGGTTCTTACTGTAATCACGCGATTAGATGGCTGACCGGCAGAGCGACAGAAACTGAGTTTTATTTTATGGATATTAATGAAATACAGGGATTTTTGCTGTTCCTAAAATTTGATTCCTTTGTCTCGCGTGGTGAAGGCTTTGACGTGATGATTCTGATATCGTCATGGGATACGAACATGAATAATATTTCTTTCAACACCTGAGTTGAAGTTAAGTCGAATTTGAACGCACAAAATAACATCTTCTCCCGAAGCCAACATACTTTATCTTTCCATTCGATCACTCTGAAATGGCTGTCATATTAGTCGTGTGGGGATACGAATTTTACCTACTCGTGCTAATTAATGGTATTTCTCGCTCACTGGTGAGCGATACCATCAATTATGAAAGATAAAATTCGTATACTCCGCGCGGTCATGCAATAATATATTATCCTTTATATACGCGGGAGAACAAATGAGCGAAAACAATGCAATGCTAGTAGTTCAGGAATAACCCTTTCTCGGCCCTTTCTTAAGTACATGATACTTTCAGCATTGCAACATGTTCTACGAAATGAAGGTGTTGAAAAATATCCTGGGAGGGTCCATAGCGATCATAACGGTATGCACAAACATTTGATATCAAACAGAGATCAGTGATTGTCTCATTTGATAGGCGTTTAGATGTTCAGTTGTTATTTTACTTCCTGTTGTCTTAAATTGTTCTTGTTTTGTATCTTCTATTGTCCTCAGATTTGAAATAAATGCATCAAAAAAGGAATGAAAATGAACAGTGCGAGCTTGAGTTCAGGAATTAACAAAACTCGCGCGGGTTCAAGCGTGTTACATGTACAGGCCGAAGGACGCACGTTTAATCGGATATATAATAATCCTGAATTATGTCACAGCAGTGCGATACTGCGTTTGTTGCGTGCAACTTCGACGAAATATCACAACCCGATTATCACTATTAAAACTAAGTCCGTTCTTGAAACGGAAATATATTTACGCATTTCAACAAGATCCTTTCCGTAACAAAATGACCGACAGAGAACAGTTGAATAGGATATCGAAAATTCTTTTCAAGAGGCCTTGTCATCGCGGTTTGCACAACACAGATTTTTTCCCTCGATGAATAAAGAAACATTGATGAGCTTTCACCGCGGTTTGGAGCTACGGAAACTAAAACGTTATTCGAGTTAACAGGAAGCGGAATATTTTACGAACGTTTCGTTGCTCTTAAAAACGCTTTCAGTCAGCGATATGTTTCATACAACTTACCACGTGAATTGAAGCAAAATTTTAGAGGCAAAGTGCACGAAACCTTGTCGTCACAACGTCGCAATTGTCACGAAAAGTTGACTCTATGAACTTGTGTATAAACAGCGTCTTAAGAGATTGCTTTTCCGGACATTCCAAGTCCTACAATCTCTCAACATTTCATTTTCACCTTTACCTAATAAAAACGTATGTTGTTGACACAAGCATAAACTTTAGGGACATGGTGTTAACCTGCTGAGGCCCCGTTGACACTAGTGCACTTCGATAAGATGGGTTTTCGATTACCGTCTTCGCGACCGTTTTCGCAGCGTTTTCCTCCGTCTACACTGAGGCCCCGTCCACACGTATCCGTCTGCTTTTTCCAAACCCTCCGTTTTCGCTATCGACACTAATAAAATAGGTCTCCATTTTCAAATATCTCCACTCTGGACAGCTATAAATGTTTTCGATCGTTCTAATGTGGAGGGTTGGCGAAAACTGCATCAGTGTGTGATATGCGTTTCCAAACGAAAACATATAAATGTGGACAGGGCCTGGGAACTACACAAGTGCACGCTAGTTAACTTGATATTTTATACGACTTGCACTGACTGTTTTTCTTTAGTTCGTGATTTATTTTACAAATTCTTTAAAATGTTTTGCTGTGTAAGACTAGAATCTCTCAAAGTCTTGGCATGAGGCGATCTGGCTGATGTCAAAGAATGAATTTTGTCGAGTAAGCATTAAGTAAACGCTAAAAACAGAAGAACATATAAACTTAACTTGTATGCACGTTTGAAGAAAAAAAAAAAACACTTCTATGTATTACAGATGCATGTAGATAGCTGTGACAATCTTTTCTTTTGCCACACAAACAAAAAAACAGAGTCCAAATGACAGTATCAACTTATTTCTCTACATCCGCCACAAGAAAAAAAATTGTTATCGCATTTTTAACTTTTCGCGTGAAATTTCATTTCCAATGATTACCTAAAATTTAATTTTTAATGTTTAATATACATGTCTTTAGGACTTGTGAATCTTCCTTTTCTTATGTATGTCAGCCAAGGGTATAAGAGAGTGCCGTTTTCCGAGAATACTCGCTGAATCCTCGGTGACGAGCTCCCGGGTCTTATTGTCCAATCATAAACAGACCAAGAAAAGCACGAGCACTCCAAGTCACTCCTTCAACTCGTCGGCTTAGGACACGTTAAGTTGCTAAGCAACTTCTCCGCTGAACACCGCGGGCTCAAACAATTCTCGGTGATTTCTCTTCGATGGCTTCAAGTATTGAATCATTCATTTCTTGTGTCGTTTGCCCTTTCCATTCCACTTGAGTTGATTCAGAATGTCCTCTGTCACTCTCTTCCCTTTTCTGATGATATCCTTTGGAATAATCTTCACAACAGCTTCAACCTAGAAAAATTAAAAACATACAAGTCCCGGTCACACTAGCTTATCAAGTTAGGGAACGATATGTCTGTGGTTCAAACCGCTGGAACTTATCCGTCCCAGTTTCTGTAGCACGCATGAAGCAACAGAAGGAGAGCCTTTGAAAGCATGCTTATCTGCCACGCAGGTTATTCTACCACCCTACCCCACCCCCAACCCACGATTAAGTCAAGTTGCTCCAACAATTTGCTCTAACCCATTGATACGCCTGTGTCAGCGGCACTGTGAGAGTAAAGTGCCTTGCTCAAGGACACAACACAACAACCCCGGCCAGCACTCGAACTCAGAAGTCCACCGCCCTAACCTGAAGTCAAAGCGCCAAGAATTTACGTTTCAAAATTGTTACTTGTCGTGGTAAACGGAATTCTAAATACCACAAACGAAATCGTGTCTTAGCCTTCTCTGATATTTGAAACTTGGCTTATCTTGACGTGCTAAGTTTGTTTGGACACATTTTTTGTCTCCAGTAACAATAAAATCACCGTAAAATTTGGAAACCGCAAGGGTCAAGCGAATAAAGCTGCTTGAAAGTGTTTCGACAAAGACACGCTGTGAACTCAAATATGTGTTTGATACTAACAATGGCAGCCATCGTTTCATGGTCACGGTTGCCGGTTGCGTGAGGCTGTTGCGGCAGATTAATTCTGTAAAAATGTAAAAATGTTTTTGCTGTTTCTTACCGCAGTCTAAGCCATGTATACAGGAAATCTAGTTTATATGCCACCCACCGAAGCACACTCAAGATTAAGTTATTGTCTAGTCCCTTATATATAATGCTAACTTCCACCATAAGCTCTGGAATGTCTAATACTCAATTTGTTCTCGGTCTTAAAAAATTCCGTGAAAACGGCCTCTGAAATTAATAGTGAAGAACAAAGTTGCTCTCAACACCAACATATCCATCTTACTTGTTCTCTCGCGGATAAACTGTCAAAAATTCCCGGCAGTTTCTTCCGATCTACTTCTCCGCCTTTGTAAATCTCGTCTAGAACCAATCTTAAAACAAAAAAATAAAACAGCACAGTATTTTAAAATCCAGCTTTAAGTCCAGGGGCTAGCGAGATGATCTAAGTCAAGTGTGATTATCAAGTTCAAGGGAGACTATATACACAAGTTACCCAAGCCCTCTGTAGTGTTTACTTAACAACTTTCACTTCAGCCAATTCTCGATGATGGGATTTGAGGGATTTCGCCTAAAAACTGTAGTAAATCTTATTATTTTTGTTTTTCTTTTTACACCCAGGTGCGTTTGAAGAGCTGTTTGCCACTATGATTGCCACAAACTGCGTGACCCAGTATTCTAGCAGCTTAGGGCTCGTTTCACTTGACTGTCGAAAATAATTCGCGCTTGCTTTGGCCAGTGAAAGACACAGAGTCACAGACAATCCAGTGAACCAATGTAGCCGACGACCTTTAAGTGAAAACCGCTCAAGCACACTTCGCCATTGGTTAAAGAAAAAACATGCGCCACTTTCAAAACATTGATTAACAATAATTGTGGCTGCGCTTGAAGTGGATTGGGGTTGGCAGTTAACTTACTGCGCCTGCAGGCTGGTTGTCCAGCGGCACTCCGCTGTAGTCGGTCGGTCAGCGGCGTTCATTGTGGTATAAAAGCCCGCGCGATCAGTCTTCATGCGTCCGCCATCTTGGTTGCATCTAGTTCTCGTTACGGGGAGATTTCGCTTGCATTAAAGATAAAGCTTACAGTACATCGGGGCCTAGTGTGTGTGTCCATTTAGACTACTGGTGCTGGTGTAAGTACTGGCTCCAACAGCCCAATTCTCCACTAGGAGACTGGTTCAGTAATGATGAAGTACTGGCTCCGACAAAATGACCAGAACGTTGCAGAATTTTTCATAGTCACTTGATATAATGTTAGAGTAAACCATGTAAATTCATGACTGGCAGCTTACTTGTAATTCTGTGAATTCATCACTTGACTGCTAATAGCCATCGTTTCCACAGGGTTGTATGCCTGCAAAAGGGAAAATACTGTTTTTAACATAGCCTACTTGCTTTCTCAGTTATAACTATAATAAACACAGGTAATCGTATGAATGTGAGTGCAATTAAGGATCAACACTACAAGTAATATTTGAAAATTCTCTCAAAGTCGCACGAACCTCTTAAGGCGAGTACAATTTGAAAGAATTTTCAAATATGAAAACTGATTAGTGTAAATAATTAATTGCTCGAGCTTTCACACAACCCACCGTAGGAAAAAAGATGGCGGCTGTACATTTTACCACAATACCTTGCGAACCTAACACAGTCTGTAAGGCACAAAGTAAGCCAAGTTTTTACAATATTTGTCTCTTTACGAAGGACATTGTGTATGCTAGGTTTGAAGATTTTGTAACTCTTCTGTGTGTTTTTATGAACGTTGTTAAGGCTTTCGCTCACTAAGATCTATGGGTAAATGTACCAGTCGCCATCTTTTTTTCCAACGGAGGATTACTCATTCCTAATAGGACTGAGAAAATTGCGAATGCGCGTGCGTTAAGTTGCACTGCAGTGCATATTAAGAATTAACAATAAATTGGCCTGCTCTCAGCCAATCACAATGAAGTAATTTTCTCAGTCATACATGTATAATAAACTGGGTACTTTGATTAGAGAGTTTGGGATCTTCAGGCTACATAGCCATGCAAGTATTAGCTAGATACTTCTCAAAGGGTTATGGCATTGATTTTGATGACACCTCACCTGGTGAAACCAGCCTGTAGGAATGATGAAAAGGTCTCCAGCTTCCTGAGTAAAAGAGATAGCTTTTGCTTGCCTAAACTTTGGATACTGTTTGTAGTCTGGGTTATATGCATCTATTGGACTGGAAAGTACACATTAAGCAGATGATTAGGCATGGCAATACTGTAAGGCTCAAACAGTAATCCTTAGAAATTTCCATGAATTGATTTTTATGTGGTATTAACAAGGAGTATTCAACTTGTATTATGCATCTACTCTTTGAAAGGTGTTTAGGCACTGGAGTGTGGACTGAATGGTCGAGGTTTGAGCTCTGGACAGGGTCATCGTGTTGTGTTCTTTGGGCAGACACTTTGGAATTGAGTAACTCTTGCAGCCCTCTCTATCCACGTGTATTTATAAACATGTACTGGCAAATACAACGCTGAGGATAATAATGCATTGGACTTAAGCATCAAATCAAGTGGGGGTGGGGGGTAAATAGTTCTTTCATGCTGTGTACAGAAAACAGGAAAATGCACTGGGCTGATGGGCTGCCCCTGCTACACTGTAGGCTTGAATGCAAACTTCCGTGTAACCTTACTTTATATTATGTTAAAAGTAAAAGACTATGACTATTCTGGAGGTTAAAAGAGCGGTTTCAAATTGTTGCAAAATCACTCTAGCCAGTCACAAAGGACACAGACAATCCATTGAACTAATCAAAACCCATAGCAAATCCATGTAACTGAAGAAAAGTGCGGGAATCATGCGCGAGCGAGTTGTGATTGGTTTTGGTTTTCCTTCTGAAAGGAACAAAAAGTTGCCCAAGTCTTTTAAGCCAGTCGTGTACATAGCATAGAGTGATTTTTGATTGTTGTAAACCAAACCAATCACTTACCAATTAGACTACTCAGCCAATCTCAAACCATAGTAAAACCAAAATCAAAGTAATTGCCTGATTACTGCTCACACTCAATTGAAAACTGCTCTAATCATGCAAAACCAATTTCTTTTCAACACTCAAGTGAAAACCGCTCTAAGACTAAAGTAATTTAATTTGATTTATTTGATATGTTTTAGTTACATATTGAAGTTAATGTATAATAATGTTAGAGGGTAACTTAGTCAAAGGCTGCTCAGGCTTGTTCAGTAACACAGTCTGAAAACCAAATTCTACTGCCATGTACCTATTGTATTTCCAACAATCCAGAGGGAATCCACAGCGTTGATGTTGTCTGACGTACAATAAGTGGTCTTGTCCAGGAGGATAAAGCTACAAGGAGAAGCCAGTAAAAAAGAGTGAGCTGAATTAACAATGATGCAGCTAGACAAACTAAGCTGGTAGGCTTGAAAACCACCTGAAGCCATGCACTCATTAACAAGCCCAGCTGGTCTTTATGCTCTGTGTACCTTCCAATTTGCCTTGTCTTTGTTTTGTAGTGAAATTTTGGCTTGTACATGTAGATAAGCTCTCTTTATGGTGACCTACAGTGAAATAAACCTATAGCCCCAACTTGGCTATAAGTCCCTGAATTGAACATATTTTCAATGACTGGCTCTGGAAAGCTGGTACACTAACTTAGAGCAAACAAACTACACGTACCGGCACCATACCAATAAATTATTCCCAACATAAACAAAACCGATGGATGGACCTTGACAAGAACAACTTAATTTGACTTACAACATCTAAAGATTGAAACTTATTAGAACTGACCAATGACTGCATGTCGACAACCTTTACACAAGTCTTACAGGCAATACCATCTATGATCATGAATTAGGGACCATTCATTTTTTATAAGGTAGGGGGGGCTGGTGGGATTTGGGGGGGGGGCCATGCGAAAAAAAANGCACCATACCAATAAATTATTCCCAACATAAACAAAACCGATGGATGGACCTTGACAAGAACAACTTAATTTGACTTACAACATCTAAAGATTGAAACTTATTAGAACTGACCAATGACTACATGTCGACAACCTTTACACAAGTCTTACAGGCAATACCATCTATGATCATGAATTAGCTGACCAATCCATTTCATGGATCAGACTTTAACACCATTGACTGACAAACACTATTCACTAAACTTGATTCGGAAGATGACTTCCGCTCAGGTTGTCAAAACATCATTCACCAGCAACATTTCTTTTCAGAACTACCCTCACCCGGACAATCAGACCATACAAACTAATGACTGTATAGTGTTAAAGGACATTGTACACTTCTCAAATGTACTATTTGGAAACAGTATGTACACTGATTTGTTGCTACAAATTTATCCGGACCAGTGTTTTGATCAAGAGCATAAAATTATTATAAAATTAAATGATATTTCTGTAATAAATAAAACTGTTTTCTATTTTTTTAAACAAGTTTAAGTCAAAGGTTTGTTTTTTAATAAGTTTACACGTGAAGGACTTTTAGTATTTGGAAACTGACATGTATTATCTATATTTGATGGCAAACTGAAAATCCCCTCTAAGTACAAAGAAGGGACAAGCCTTTTTCCATTAACCTTTCATACTTTACCTTCCACATTTTCTTTCCAGATAAAACAGCGTTTGTGCCAGTCCAGTTGTAAGGATCTATTCAAAGCACAAAGAAGCAAGTTGTAAGTTCTAAAGACAGTTAATGAAAATTGTAAGTTTTGGTATCCCTGCAAGACAAGTAAGCAGTGAATTTCTAAAGCCTGGACATTTTCAAACTTCCATTAGATTTCCACTGTCATATAAATTCAAATTTACAATAATTATTGACTGTGTGTAAATTTCATGGGCTTTTAAGAAAGCATAATAAAGTACAGAAAAAGTACAGTACGTGGGAGTGTACGAGTTGTGTCTGCAGAAAACATTGAACCACATTCTGTGTTTTCTGCAGATGCAGCCATCCATGCATTTTCACCACTTTATTCACAATCATGTAATGCTCATAAAGACATTGAAATTTGTGCCCACTAATCTACATGCATCGCTTGTAAAAAACACAAAAAAACAAAAAAAAAACATAGTAACAATAGACATCAACTTATACACTGCAAATGTATACATGTATGCACATGTGAAAAGAAATACATAAGGTGACCAAGCCTGCCTGGTTGTTTGGAAGGTGGATAACGCTATCCACCAAGCAAATCACTATCCAACAGATAGCGTGGTTTATCAAATGTTAACACTTATCCACTGGATAGCGATTTATCCAGTGTTCTAACATTATCCAGTCTTTGAACAACTGGGGCCTGCAATGTATATTAATTCAGATCCTAAAATAATTAAATCTGTCTCTGAAAATTAATATGATTCTGATTGCTATGTGCAGTGATGTGCATCATTTATTTTGAATACATCAAGAGACTTCAGGATTAAACTTAACTTTCAACGAGAATTATGCTCCACCACAAGTGCTTTAATTATGGGATGTATCATGCCATGTGCTGGCATACCTCTTTGATTTCTGAGTTTGGGGAAAGGATAGAACACTGCTAAAAGAATGGTCGGGATTTAAACTAGGCATTCTACGTTCACCTACTCACTTGTTCATCTCAGTAAAGGGTTAGCTGCAGGTAGCTACAATTTCTGACAGTGAAATTGCCCTTTACTTTTTTAAGTTTAGGTTGTTGCCCCTAAATGATGATGTTCCCATAGAGAATATACTACATAAGTACATGTTACTAGTACTGTACCTATGTGAAGAGATGACCTTGAATGAGCTGTACCCCACAAAAGCATGGCATTCCACGGTCGAATCTCTTTTGGTAACAACTGGAAAAAATCTTCCTTCAGATAGACCTGGGAGAAAATCCAAATATTTTACATGGTTACATGTACATGCAACAATATTACCTGACTGAGTGAATCCTACTCACATATTATTAAGCAACTGCTTGAAGGGGAGAAAATGTAAGATGGAAAATCAAACATCATGCCTCCAAAAACTTCCAGAAATTTCAAATAATTATATTTATCCTATTCTCAGCTCGTGAGCGGGCAGAATTCAACAAATCCTGCAATCTGATTGGTTCCTGGAGTGGGCAGAATTTTCTCATCTGGACTGCCACAGNAGTGACACTTCATAAAAGCACAGCGAGGATACCCCGGAAGTGGCTTTTGCCTATTTTTCTCTGATTTTAGGGCAAGAGAATTAAGACAAAAAATAAAACACTTAAAAATGAAAATGCTGTTTGATTTCATTTGAGATCTAAAACCATCTGATTGCTTTACCGGTTTAAAATGCCCTTTTACCTGTTGTACTGAAAACAAGGGAGAACCCTGCACAACTAAATAAGAACAATATAATCATATATATCATAATTTACTGCTACTCACAGGCTGCCCTAGATAATCTCTCAGTTCTGGATTCATTTCTATAAACAGCTCATCTTCCAGATATGTCCACACCTCAGGTTGGCCTTCATGTACATGTTCTGCAAAAGTCTTCAAAGGAACGGCAAATCCCTGGGCTTTGTTTAAAGGACCCTGCAGTTCAGAGGAATTATAAAGAAGACTTAGCAGTAACACTTCTGTACAGTACCTACATGTACTTCGTAGGGTTCGTCATTGGAGACTTATCTTAAGCAGGGACTCGGCTCATTTAACAAACACCACATTGTCTTTATAGTTCTAAGACACTTCTACAAAGCAAGTGAACACATGTGAACACAGTCACAATTATTATAATCCTGACCAGGATTTGAACGCAGGCCACTCAATCTAGAGTTCAGCATACATTAACCCAGGGCTGTGCTCTAGAAGCGCCTGGGTACCACAGGTGACTAACTCAGGCCTTTGGGTGACTGGAAAAACTTACTTTTTCCTTTTGGCTGCTTGTAATTTTTCTTAGACAACAGCCTTGGAACCACTGCACTAGCTCATTGTAGCTTGTTTTTTTTTTTTTTGGGAGGGGGGGCAAGGGGGAGGGTTGCATTCATGAGTACATGTATGAACAGCCTGACAGCATTGCATGTTCCACTTCTGGTTGCCATGGAGTGCAAAATGTCAGTTTGCAATACTGGATGGTCATACATCCATTCAAGGCTACTTTAATATTTAACAAATAAAGAAGCCCAAGCTGTCTATCACACTGTGATAAAACATGACTGGCATTTGAGAACACGAGGAAAATGTAGAAAACACAAGCCATAGGTGAGTGTTTTCCACATTTCTCGAGTGTTCTCAAATGTCCGGAGTGTTTTATCACAGTGTAATACACAGTTTAGGCTTCTTCATTTGCTTTATGATTTAGAGGTAATGTGGTGAAAAACAATAAAATGCGCTTTTTCTATGCTTTATACTCTGATAAAACATGGGTTTTTGACCAATCAGAGCACACGTAGGGTCCTATCTATATTATAAAACAGTGTAGTAAATCAGAGCACCATCTAACCTCTGTGGCTTTCATTGATACTCTCTTGTCTCCATAGTTACTGACAAGGAATGATTTAGTCCAGTTCATAGCTTTCCAGTTTCTAACAACATCTGTTATAACAACTGGTCTGCAAACAAAACAAAACAGAAACTCTCAACACATTAAAAGATAACACATAGCGACACAATGACACTGAAAATTTTGGCTTTTTCTAGATCTACATTTAAAGAAGTTACGTCATGGTTTGCACATCTTGAAATCTTTAGCCTAATTTTTTCAAGTTTGTTGCTTAAAATCTGTGTCAATCTTCTCCATCCTTAACTGTCCTTGTTCTGTTACGATTTATTATTATCTCTCTGGTGTTTTTCTATCTTAGTACTCAAAATATCGCCACTGAGCTCCTAAAATTTATCTCCTATTTTACATTTTGTGACCAGGAATGGAAACCAACCTCTTCACATGGCAAAATACATGTACCCTGGCCCCTTCTAGCCACATGACCATGATTGTGATCAACAGGTGGTAAAACATCAAGAGTTATTACCTGCAGGACCCATTGAAATTACAGCCTTCAAAAGTACAATAATACTTGCTGGACCGGGAAACAAACAATGGATGGCTGGGTCGTGCAGAGGTTCTCTTACCATCCTCCACCCTATCCCCACCCCCAGAAAAAAACAAACAAACAAACAAGCGAACTCATGCCTATATGTGGATTGAATGACAGAGTTCAATGTTCTCTTCCGTAGCAAACAACATTTGGTTGATCAGCTACTTTAACCTTACTGTTACAGTAGGTACCTTTTGGCATCATAGCAACGGATGAATTCCTCCAGGCTTAGATCAGAGCGGCGATCAACGGTGAAGTTGTCTCCGAAGTTACACGGAAGTTCTACAGCGTTTTGATCTGCACTGCTGTAAAATCTGTGTGAAACTTGGATTGATCTCCATGTTCGAGAAAACAACTCAGTATTTTTCAAACAAAACAGTGAAACGCTGCCAACTGACAGTAGAATGGCAAAAACACAATATCCCCAAAGACTTTGGTTGTGAAGATCCTCGTTGATTGGCGAAACATCGCTCGAAGTAGAACTGCCAACTGTAGAGTCCGTGAAATTCTTACTTGTCAAGTAAGATTTCTTTTTCTCCCTTTGTCGAACCGTTGTACCTTTGGCCATTTCGTCTCGCCATAGATTTTTTCAACCGATCTTTTCCTAAATCTTGCTTTCTTAGCTCATATCATTTTAGTATTCCCAAATCTGCAGCCATTTTGTATTTCAGTCGAGAAGCATCGGAACCTTGTCACGTGATCAAATTAAAGGTTCACAATTGGCTAATCTATTTGACAGTGTCATTTTCGCGCTTGTTTTCAAACATGGCTGATACTAGTATTTCTGTGCTGTGAACAGTTATCAACGTGTATTTGGCTGTATAGGGGAGAATTTTAAGTTGTTCAAATTGTTCTAGTTAGGTACTCGGTACTCGGTATCAAGATGCAGAGAAACACCCGTATGCAGCGAGAACTTAGCATTCTAAAGAAGGAACCACCGCCTGGAATCTCATGTTGGCCAGTTGACGACCAAATTGATAAGCTGCAAGCAGGTTTTGACTTGATTCCTTGTTATTCCTTGGTTTATAGTCTTAAGTTTATCATAGACTGGCTGAAAGCGTGCCATTTAAGAAAGTTGACATTCCCCGCAAGATCTTCTTAAATCTGTAGAGCGCTGGAGAGCGCTAGCTTAAAGGAGGTCACTCCAAAAAGCTTACCTTGCCTATAGCTTGAGTAAACATTTCGCTTTTCCACTCACCGAAATTTCAGCCTTAAAAGTCCCCGCTATCCTGAGGAAATTTGTCTCGAAAGAAGCCCAAAACTGTACTTGGCAGCCAGACTGTGTTTATATATGCGACGTCATTCCGTCCGACTCCGAATTGGCGGGAAGGAGAAAAACCTCCACAATGCTCCTACACAATGTAAGCACAGTGTATTTTTTTCCAAGCGATTATCCACTTCTCTATTTTCACCGCTATCATTTTCGGAGTTTGGAGCATGTTTGGCTCAAAATAATACGGCTCAAGAGCAGCCATAACCCAGAGTGGTGGTTAAAAGGCTTGTCAGAAGCCATTTTTACAAATTTATATATCTGCAGAAATTCTTGTGCCCTCATTAGCTAATTTTCATTGTGAGTAAGTGGACAGACACATGAATTTATAATTGATGCGATGCATCGATGAGCAAGAGTGGACAATTTGACGATTTGTTGAGAATGAATAGACAATTAATTTTGTCATAGCATCACATAGTCAAAGTAGTCTATGGATCCACTTGGCTATCCACACCTACTTTGACAATCTTATGAAATTCACGATTGATAACAGGACAGACACATGAAAAACTGATATCAATTGGTTAATTGGACAAAATGTCTCGGACAGAATGACGTCACAAAAACGCAGCCTGGCTGATTAACCAAGTGATGGCGAGGTCAATACTGTAAGGTCGAGGTTTGAGATTTTTCTGTTAAGACCAAATGTTTGAGGTTGATGGGTTGTTTATTACTGTATATGGCATTTTGCTTTGTTTTTGCAAGCCATTAATTGACCTGTGGGAGAATAATGCCCTACAATTAGCCAATCAGAGCATGTGTTACAATGTATGTCGGCTACAGGAGCAAGCCATCTAATAATTATGTTGAACATCCATCAAGCATGTCCTACATGTATACTCCCTCAGCAGACATTTTTCTTCTTGAAATGAAGTGTCTGAAGACTTGCTCGAGATCTCCACTCGTAGATTGTCAAACATTTCATGGCTTAATCAGCCAGAACATGATCAAATGGTTTATGATGTGCTTAGAAAGTTGTAAAATACTTTGTGTATGCCAGAATCTCAGAATAAATCTCAGATGCCAAATGAACTCTTCATAAGGTAGAGAGAGAAAAACAATCCTTTACCACTGAAGCATGTTTGCTGCTTTGCAAGGGTTGTACTGTATGCCCGGTCTCTTCTGCATTGGCTCAAAAGGGTTTTTTGTGGGGAGAGTTTGTTAAGAGATGTGAGTGCAGGCATAAAATAATGTGGAAAGTGATGGCAGAGGTTTGCTACCCAGTGGATCCTTTTGACTTGGTGCCTGCACTCACCTTGAACAGATTTCTATGAGGAGTGCTTTGAACAACTTCTGCAGAGGAGAGAGCCATACTGAATGCTTAGAAAAATATCTGTATGCCTAACATCAGGTCAAGTTCTTTTAAGCTCTGAAGACTGGATAATGTGTATAAGTTTTGTGATTATTTTTCTTTTTTTTTCTTTAGAAATCTTAGGTTCAAAAGGAACACCCTATAGTGGAGGGACTTTTAAGCTGGAAATTCAACTTCCTGAGAGGTTGGTAGACACTTTGTATATATGTACACTACCTGCATTGTTGACGTCTATCACGGCATGACATTTTTTGTTGTGTCTTTAGTAACAAGACGTGTCCCAGTGTGTACAATGTAGGTAATAACGACTTTGTCATACATTGCACTATTTGATCCCTTGCTTTGTGTAAAGCTGTTACATGTATGATAGCTGACCAAAATACATTTAAGTTCTTTGATTCCTTAATTTTCCTTCATAGGCTTTGCAATAGCATTGAAGGATACAATTCCCTTTTTAAAAACAGCCTCAATCTGCAACTTATAGAGTTGATGAATATCCAAAACACTAAGGGTGCATTTCTTTAAAAAAAGATCCAAGATTGGATTCTTAAATCCGAAAACGGATTTTGCATTTCTTTACTAAACTGATCGATCCTAGATCACTTGGATCATGGTGCATCAAAGGAACCAAAGAATCCTTGCCCGGAGTGGATTCTTCCGTTCCTTTGATGCACCATGATCCAAGAGATATTGGAATAATCTGTTTAGAAAAGAAACGCAAAATCCATTTCGGATTTAAGAACGCAGTCTTGGATTTTCTTAAAGAAACGCACCCTAGGAAAATAGACACACCAAATAATATGTAGCAATGCAGCAAATAATATTGTAATGTTAGTGCTGCAAGTAGCGCTAGCATCTTGTTGTAAGCAGTGCTGCAAGTTATTATAAATTGCAAGTAATGTTTGTGATGTAAGTAAATTTAGTATTGTAAAATTGTAAATTATAAAGTGTGGTAAACGAACAAAAATGGACACGTAATAATCATCCTTTTGTTATTTGCAGATACCCATTTTACCCTCCTAAAGTGCGGTTTGTTACTAAAATCTATCATCCAAACATTGATGGAAATGGCCGCATCTGTCTTGACACTCTTCAAATGCCTCCAAAGGTACAGTAACTAATATTTTTGCATACATTGACGAAGAAGAACACATTTGGAATCCTGGGGCCTAATTTTTAGTGCACTAGCCAGGCTCCTGATCAAGCTGTCAAGGTTGATTCTGGCTGTGGTCACATGTTGTGTTCTTGAGCAAGACACTTTTACAAGCCATTTGTTGCATCTCCCGCTGCAGATGAATCTACATCAATTTGTATTAATGTAAGAGGCAAGCTGATGATAACCTGAGGTCTAACCTCTGATGGGATGTCGATTTTGATCCAGGAATGACCATGCAGTAATAATATTTCTAGTGTCATACTATTACAGCTGGATGAGTAGCCTGCAGAACAGGCGGATTAGCAGGGCAGAGAGTGAAACGCAAGATATGACAGTTTGTGCCAGTTTGGCTCATTTGCATTTTTTAACGTTACACCACATTGGAATACAGTACATACATGGACATGAGACCTAGAAATGGCACAGGGGTTTGGTATAAATTTACGATTTCAGCTCAAGGATAACTGGTTTTCACAGGCAGGCAATACTTTTTGAACTGAAATTCTTTATATTAAGAAAAACTTTGGACCGGTAGATGGTCAAACCAGGTGGGCAAAATCATCCTCACAGCTGGTCAATTTGTCTGGTGCCTGGGTGGCCCTTACAGAAACCACTGATGGTAGTTTTACTTCTTAAAACACAACCCAGCTTTCTTATGCAGAGCATCAGGCTGAAGCAGTTTCCGTCTTTTTCACTCTTGGTATCCACTGCACACAGCTTCAAGTTGTGCTGTGGAAACTGTTAGTCATGATAACATTCCCATGTTTAACACAATTTTTTGAAATGTTAATTACAGGGAGCTTGGAAACCAGCGTGGAACATTTCAACTGTGCTGACATCGATCCAACTTCTGATGGCAGAACCAAACCCAGAGGATCCACTCGATGCTGAAATTGTAATTATTTTTTAATTAGTATTAAGTAATTGCAGGTTCAAAAAAGTATATTCTCCTTCTGGGCAGGTAGGTACCTTTCATTCTCACTTGCCCAATGGGCAAGGGATCAGAGAAGTCGTCTGCCAACTAAATCATTAAAAGAGCAAACTAAGACAAACTAAGGGAAAGCTGGAACCCTGAATTATGTAATTTAATAAAATGTTGTTTAGCATTTCAAAAGCATACATGTCAGGCAATGTCAGTCTGATCAAGTTGTGTCTATTTTATACAAAGAGGGTCTACCATATGTTTGGCAGGATGTGGGAAGACAGAAATTTTGATGGTGGGATGCAGGAATAATACTTCAGCAGGAGCGGCATTTGCTCATTTCGATTCATGTAGGTGGGATGCCAGATAGCAGAAGTGGAATGAAAAACAGAACATCATAAGTTACAGATCTATATTACACAGAGTGACTTCTGCAACTCTAATTCTGGAATCAGAATGGTCATTCTGAGCGAGGCAGGATGACACGATTGAGCCCAAAATGGCCTGGGAATGCCGGATTGGAAAAGGCTATGTTGGTTCGTGTTCATGGTAGCACTCTGCACTTGTGTATCGTGTTTTGTGCTCTTCCCTGCTCTGCAGGCTACCTGGACAAATGCATGCCAGTAGACCTACAGAATGAAAGTTAATACATGTACTTGCATAATGCATGCCATTCTAAAATCTTTTTGCTCCTGCAGTCTAATGAATTCAAGTACAACAAGCCACAGTTTCTTGAAAAAGCAAAAGAATGGACTCAAAAGTATGCGACTAGTAACAAAGTTACAGCTGCTTCAGTAAAGGTACGGTTGGTCTTAAAATGTTTTAACACTGTTGAGCCATGTGAAATATTATCAATAATGTTTACCGGTATGTGTTTTGTTCCAGTTGCCAGGATTATGGTAGAATTGGAAATAATAGGGATGACACCATCTTTGCTTCGTTCTCTGTCTACTCTAGACATGTTTTACTTGGCCAAAAATTTCTCAAACTCTGCTATGGCCCCGTTCTCCCAGAGGCAGGGCTGGAAAAAAAAAATTGAATTCCACCTTGCCCCTCAGACAAGCAGCTCTCAAATCTTGCTTACCCTGGGCAAGTCTTAGTTCTTAGCTGACTCATTTCGTAATGTTTCAAGGTGACTTGCTTGGGCCCTTGCTCATTGTGCAAGTTAGAATGAAACATTACTAGTGCTTGTCCCAGATGACTGGATGGCACTTTTTGCAAGCCCTGAGAGGAGAGAAAGAATTAAGTCACAAACTCTGCTTCTGAACGCCCTGCTATTTTAACTCTTAGCTATTTTGGGATATATTTTTATAAGGACGAAGCACAATTCACTGTAACAATTGAGACTACAAGCCCTAGTTTTCTATGAGGGAATAGTCAATGAGGTGTAGCCAAGTTGGCTATCTCTCATATAGAAAATGAGGGTGACTAGTCTTATTTTAGTAGACACTCTAAAGGATTACACCACAAGACCTACAATTTTGCATATTTTTAGATTCAATAATTTTCAGTTTCAAGAGCAGTACATGTGCGATCGTTGTCTATCAGGGAATAGAAAACAATGAGAGAATCAACCAGATTCATGGATTTCCAGTAGAACACAGCTGAGTGGCTACTAGTCCATCATTCATGCAGTATTTGGTAACTGGAAATTTGTAAGATCGCATTTGGTAACCACACAGACAAAAGATGATAAACCTGAACATCAACTAGCCAAACTGGTTTTCTTGACAGGTTTCTTCAAGTGACACTCATGTTGAAGCTGAGGACAGCAGTGACTCTGATGATGACAGCAGTGATGAAGAGAATCCAGAAAACAACCCTCCTGTCCACCCCAGCCAGGGGGTCAAGAGAGCAGCCTCTGCACACCTCCCTAGAGAAACCAAAACACTGAAACAAAATAATGAATAGCCTTGTTCAGAAACATTCTGTGATAGGATCAGTGAACAAATTAAATTTAATTCGTTATGAACTCAGAAGGCTACCCTTAACCTGTATGCCTGAGTCATTTGAAAAATACAATGTAGTTTCATTTTGTCAAGCTTGCTAGTTGCATTTGTTGACATTTTCTTAAAAAAATACAAAATTCTTTGTAATAAATTGAGTAAAAACCACTGTATAAGAAATATGTAACAATTCATGAAATAAAATATTCAGTTCTTCAAGTTTTCTCTGATTTCGATTGTAAACCTCCTGAAAAATATGTGAAGGAAAGATTTACTACTCTTTGGCTTTGCACATGCTCAAATTTTCCAGGCATAGTCAATCAATAAACGGATAATCAATATCAGTTGAAGATTGGCGATAGCAATTAATGAAAATTGATAAAGATAAAAGTTGTGACTTATCGATTGTTATCAATTACCGATAGTAATCGATAGCGACTGATTCATCTGTTGGTATCGATTATTATCCAATGGTATCAGAAATTATGTTTGTTCTTTTACAAGTTATGCTGATAAAATGTTTGACAAAATTTGTCTATAATGGTTTTATTTGGTCAATTTATCATAGCCTGCTTGCCTTTTACAATCACTGACAGCTGGTAGAAACATTTTGGGCTTTACATCTTACTTTACTAGTTTACCACACTGGAAGAAGCTTAGTCCAGAGTTGCAGTGTAAAACCCACCAGTCTCATTGTAATGTCGNGTCCATGGAGCATATTTCAACATTGAAAAGGGGGAGAGGGGGGCATAAGAAATTAAAACAAACGTAAGAACAGATCTCGGGGTAGGCCAAAATGAAAATACAATCTAGTAGCATGCTGAAGATGAACGTCTCGTGTTGTTCCAGGTATTATTTTACACAATGACAAAACCATCTGAATAATTGCGGTGGTTATTGTCGATTTTCTTTTAATCGATAACGATAATTATTGACATTCCTGAAGACAGGAATTATCGATTGTAAATGGGTTTTTGCCAATAATGAGCAATTGATAAAGAAATTTTTCTGTGAGTTATCGATTGTTATTGATTACTAATGTCAATCGACAGCGATGAGCTATTGATATCGACTGAATAGATTGATTTCCAATATCGATTTTTATCGATTGACTACGCCTGGAAGTTTTCACTATCATGTTAATGTTTGATGCTTTAAAAATCTCACTATTATGCTGGAAAGGCTAATATTTATCCAAAGCACTTGTTTTATTGAAGCATGAGGCATGCCTCGATGAAGGAAAGTCTCTAGTACTAATAATGAAAAAAAAAACGCGCTCTGATCGAGCAGACCGCTTGAATTAGCCTGTTGGCATGTGCTGTGTACTGTGTAGTCAAGGGACTGGTGCCCAGATTTTTCTCGGCCTGCTCAAAGCCCCAAATGTCTACCTTGTCCGTCTCCAGACATATCGCATAAAAGTGTTATACAGAGATGGATAACGGATTAGAAATGCCATCTTTGAATGATGTTTAACCCATTGACACCTGTGCCGGCCGTCATCCCCCGTGACCCCCCGTGACGAGTGTTGGCCCTTTGTTCCACTTCTGACGTCATCACCTTTGAATAAAATTAACCTCACCTATACTCGAGTTCTGTAGGAGGAAAAGAACTTTCGAGTGATACCCAGACCAAAGAAAACTAAATCGAGCGTGAACTATGCACAAAAATGCTCAGAAATTGGAGTGCAAAACTCGGAGCAAAATTTCCCTCAACTACACTTGGCTACTCCGTGCTAATAATTTCCCGTCTTGGTGATTCTTTCTCGGGAATTCTTGAACTGGAAGCAAGCCCAATAGAAGGTCAACAACTGCAGCAAAAAGATAAGAAAAGTAGTAAAAGGAAAGGAGAAAAAAATTAAAAAACCGAAAAGCCTATTTCTTATATCAAAATATTGATTTGCGCGCATGCCCGAGCAAAGGTGTCATAAAACGCGATGCCAGTGGAGAGAAATAAATGCTGTCACGATGCAAATGCCTTTTTGGATCGATCGTTTGGAGCTAATTTAGCTGATATCCATGCTGAAAATGTCCAAAAATGCGTTGTCGCCAAATATATCCAGGTGTCAATGCAATGGGTTAATCAAAATGATTGATCATTTGGCCGGAACTGTAGTTCAACTCCAGCGCAAACCTTTGGTGAGCCTGCTTAGGTACTTGAGTGACGTGAAAACATACATCTCCCAGAAATCTGCGACAATGACAAGCGACACAACTTGATAATTAAAATACTTTATTTCGTTCTTCTATCTTGTAGACGTTTCCATCATTGAAAATACACGTCTAACGAATACAAAGGTTTGGCTACACTAACACAAAAATTCTGAGAACTGACTGATAACTTACTTCACGCATGTTTCTTCACGACATAAATATAGGCATCTATAAATTGAAGAAATCAGGCTTGTGTAAAAAAACCAAAAAATCTCCCAAAACGGACGGTGGCTGGAACGTTTTGATGGCGACGCACAAAATTCTAGAGCAAATTCTGTCCCCGCAAGCTGAAAAAAAGGGTCTCAATATGCGACAGTGTGCAGATCTTCCATGAAATCAGTTCTGCTCAGCCATTCACAATAGCAAAATAAAAGCAAAGCAAAATACAGTTAGCAACAACTTGCGAAAAAAATTAGTCTGCCTTCTGTACAGCATTCGCATTTGAACTCCTGTACAAAACTGTAAATTTTATTTTGTATAGGTAATCATACGGTTTTTCTCGTTCAATTTCAGCTTTTTAAAAAACTCACAAGTGTAAATTAATTGCAAATTGAACGAGAAAAACCGTATGATTACTTGATTATTAATGATATAAATATGAAAAAATTCGCGTGGAAGAAGTGTCGGAAGATCTTTCTTGAAGCCATTTTTACTCATTCGAGTAATTCCGCACACAAGTTTCGTTATCATTTTACGTGATATCATTGGCTTAGAAAATTTCCCACTATCTTTCAGCCAATCATAATCCAGAATTACGATGTGTAATTTGCACTGGTGCTACACTTTTTGCACTGGTGTTACACGTGAACTGCACTGCTCTCAGCCAATCAGAATCGAGTAATTTTTTCATGTATATTATTAGCAACTAAACCAAACATTTCTCCATGCTTGGCTCCAGTTTAACTTTTTTGCTCAACACTCTCGGATACAAGTTACAACAACAATGTCGACCTTGTTACAGAATGAATTTTCGCCACATTAAATTTTTGGCCATGTTTAAAAACGAGTAAAGGTCGTTGATTCTTAATAAACTGCTTTTATTCGGCGTTACATCGTAAGGCGAGAACTGTTCTTCTCTAGTTCAAAATCAACTTTGATCTTTACGTGAAAGTTGCAATTTTGAAAAAATAAGTCAAACTTCGTTTTGAAAAGTTATGATAACGCGAAAACTTGGTGTCGAGAATTACAACCCTTCAAAAATTGCGAAATTGGGCTATGGCGAGAATTTTCTGCAATAGGGTAATAATGTTAGTACATTATTTTTTTTTAAACGGTCTTTTGAATTAATCGCTTCAATGATTTGTGAACAACAGCATTTACTGAACACCCACAAACACAAAACAAGAACCTTGATGTCTCTCTCTTAAGTATTTACAAATCACACTTTAAATCCCCTAGGCTTTGTTTGCCCTTTTAAGTTATTAATATAAATAGCATAATGTCCTTAAATAAAACGTCTATTTTTTTCTCTTAATTCAACGATATTTGTTGATTCAAGTAAAATATACACAACTAAGGCACGCGTGCTGAAAAACTTTTGAATGTACAATTTGTAACAAAATGGTTTCCTACAGTGTACCTTATCACATAAAATTTTCGCGACACGTTAACTTCGCGACTAAAAAAATCGCGAAATTAAAGTGACGCGAATAACAAGTGTCGCGAACAGAACATGAAGCGAAAATTAAGTGACTCACATTATGTTACTGTTGACAAATAGTTCCGCCGTTGCATGTTTGTTAGTTTTGACGTTACTGTATACCTTTATATTGATAAAGCCAGTTTACAAAATCCAAGGACATGTTAAAGTAACATTGCCAAGGAAATAAATTGTGTGCTACTTAAAAACGCGAAGTTTAAGTGATTTAAAGTACATTTTCGCAAAATCGCGGAATTTAAGTGTCGCGAAATATGCGCACCTCATGCAAAATCGCGAAATAAACGTGTCGCGAAAATTTCATTTAATAAGGTAGGTATTTCTGTTTTCTTTTTCTCCCAGGAAGGCAAATTCTTCTCTCGGTGTGTTCCTCTGTCTATGTAGCACCAAACCAGCGAGCTGCGTGTGGAAAATTTCGCTAAATTTTGGCAAGAAAACTCTTGGATGTTGCTTCTACGCGAACGGAAATTAAGGAATCATCATTGTGGCTTCGTGGCCGGAAGTTCTTGTTTCGTCCAAGCGGTTCCTTCCGCCTGTGAAATAGAACCATATCGCAGTATCAGTAGATATAACGTAAAGCTCCGCAAGAAATCATCCCCTCCTGACTTGCCAGCGAAAATTACGTCGTTTGTTTTAAAGTTGTTAAATCCCGAAAGTACCAACTCTCTGGGCCAAAGGAGCAAATTACTTCAATTCGGAAATATAGGGTGCCAATCGCGGGACGATTTTTCATACTAACTGACTTGCTCAATCATACGGGAACAGTACAATTAGAGAGAATGATGTCTTGGCTAAAGTAATTGTAAGCGGAGGGAAGTTTTAATTTACAAAGAATAATGTTCTTACTGAAAAACGACAGAAGCATTAGTAAAATATATGCAAACCTGGCGACGCCATCCAACGACTATTTGCAGCATTTCTTTTTAGGTTGTGGCTCATGCACAAGATTCAATACACTCTGCATTAATTCGTCTTCTCGAACTTGTAGCATTCTGTTATAACGGAATTACAAGGGTTGGTTTAGTGAATAAATAGATAATACCACTTATTTTTTTCGTATGCCTAGCTTGTTTGGCCAAGATGGATAGAGATTGAACTCGATCTTTTTGTTTCGTGTTTAATTAATAAACCTAGACTTCGTCTCGGTCCATAATCACGCAAAAAGGCCAATTCCCAGCCATCTTGACCTCACACTTCGTCAACAGGTAAATATCCTGCGGCTCGCATGGTTGGCAATTAAGGGTCTTGTTTGCAAGGAAAAAGAGGCCAATTCCCAGCCATCTTGACCTCACACTTGGTCAACAGGTAAATATCCTGCGGCTCGCATGGTTGGCAATTAAGGGTCTTGTTTGCAGGAAAAAGAGCCAATTTGCAGCCATCTTGGCCTCACTCTTGGTCAACACGCGAATATTTTGCAGCTCGCATAATTAGTATTTAGGGTTCTTGTTTCCAAGGGGCGCGGGTACGAGTCAGGTACCGTTGGTAAGGGGCTGGTGTGGTGTGCCACTATGATCACCAGCTTCCCAGATCCTTTTTTAACACAACAAAATAGGCAAAATGAAACCGTAGAATCAGGAAGGAAAAAACGAGGACTCCGTCTACTTCATGATATTTTCAGGAAGTAAGAACTGATCAAGCCAGGGTTTCCTTAAAAGTGAACTGAATAAACTTTTCGCAATGTACATCATCACATTGCGAAAGAACGAGAGTTAATTAATTTGGTCCGCCAATCCCTCCGCAGGTACCACACTTCATTATGTAATAAGAAGATTGAAGTCACTACGTTTCATCTACATTAAGTGGACCTACAATCATGAACCAGGCACTGTGTAAAAGCTTTATCATATATGGTTCAGTGGTAAGATAAACAGAACGTCTACTCACTTGGAGAATTCTGCCATGGATTCTTGAATATTGTAGCCTGTTTTAGCACTTGTTTCGGTGTACAAGGCTTTGTATTCCTGTTAACGCCGGACACATGGGTTAGTCAGTCAATCGATCGATTGGTTAGTGAGTCAGTCAAACAGTCAGACGTCAGTCAGTCAGTCAGTCAGTCAGTCAGTCGGACAGACAGACAGACAGACAGTTTGAAAGGTATTCGGACAGACGTTAAGTGGTTCAGTCAGTCAGGCAGTCAGTCAGTCAGTCAGTCAGTCAGTCAGTCAGTCAGTCAGTCAGTCAGTCGGTTAGTCAGTTACTCCGTCCGTCCGACAGTCAGTGTAGCTCAGAAAGATGTTAAGACCAGAGACTGCACTAGAGTGATCTAAGGGTAAAATGTTCTTTACCAAGACTACCATTGAAGTTTCTAAGGCTACTTTTAAAGTTTTCAAGGGGATCTACTCGTACTTTCCGCGGTATATCTGAAAGGTAAACACACTACTCCAGCAGTAAGACTGCACACTACAGCAAGCTATGCGTGCACCTCGGCTAGCTTCTTTCCATCCTGACTCTTGACTGCTCGTTCACTGTCGTCTTCAACAAGATCAGTCTTGTTACCAACAATCATTACTGCTGTCCCGTCATCTGTTCCCTCCTAAAAATTACGACAAATAAGAATGCATACATTTACGACTAAATCTTAGTAAATAAGTGAATGACCGTTGAAATTATCTTAAAAGAATCACAATCTTTTCAGTGTAACTATCTATTGTTGGGGACGACGAATGAATGGCTCATAACCCACGATGGCTAAGCCAGTGTAAACTCTCGAATTGCATTAGCCAATAATCCAGTTTTTAATAAGATCCATTATACCAGCTCTACAAATATGGTGAGCAAGAGAGAACCACTCGACCACTCTCCGGCACAACATCAAATTACTTTTCTTGTAGGCACGTACGTGTTTGAAAACTAATTAAATATAAATACGCAAAAATAATCTGACTCCTTTCCCCACAAACTGACACACCCAAATCCACACCCACTCATCGGTAACGACAATGTTCAACTTACAATTCCATTACGTTACTATTTCGTTACCTCGACGCTTATCATCCAGTTTTTGATGTTCAAAAATGACGTTTCCATGGTGACGTCATAAAAGACTATGACTCCATCTGCTTTTCTGAAGTACTGCTTAGTGATGCTGCGGAATCTGTCACATGTAGATAAACAATGGCTGCTTAAACCACGTACGTTCATATGAGACAGGTTTCATTCGTTTAATAACTGATGCGCACGGTTGTTTATATGGCTTGAGGCAAACGCAATAGGCTATAGAGAACTTCAAGTCGGGATAAACAGGAAATGAGAGATTTAAACAATCCCTCTTCAGAAACCACGATCGTTCACGACCTCTCACTCCCTCTTATCGATATCAAACTTGCTCACATTTGGGGTTTCGCGGGGACGTCGCGATGAAATCTCGCCGAAAAACGTTTGGAAGAACAAAAATCCGGGTACTTTGGTCTGAAACTCTCACAGTGTTTTCACAAGTACCCCGAAGCCTAATAAACCTTATTTCGTTTCACTGCAGGGTCCACGAATATTCACTGTTACATGATATCAACTTTCGCACATCCACGCACTCTCAGCTGGTTTGACCATGTCCTAAAGACAGCTAAGAAATAAACGGAGAATAAAACGGAGCTCACAGCTAAGAATAAAACGGAGCTTACCTTTCCTGGCCAGCGGTGTCCCAAAGTTGCAACGCAATACATCTGCTATCTATACACATCGTTTTTATCTGAAAGTCGACCCCTGGGAAAAAGACATGGAAGACACACGATATCAGACAGAAAAAATATCAGCTGAACAATTATTATCGATTACATGTCATAACCTAAAAGAAACGGAAAAGATGACGTCACGGCAGCCATATTGGTGTCCAAAAATAATAAAACGCCGCTATGTTGGTGTCCCAGGCCAATCCTGTGGCAGTTGAACTGTTTTCTTAAGAACACACTTTCATTTGTTCCAATAAATTTGCATAGGTACTGACCACATGAGTGAAAACGCTCCGTGGCTACACCTTGGTTTTGCCTTTAGTCCTGAGGCAAGTTCCTTATTCTAAAATCCTTGAACAAAAAAGTTTCCATATTTAAGTCACTGTTTTAGACAAAACGTATTACCTATTGTTGCGGTGAATGAAGGTTTCCAAGCGTCATGGCAAAACCGATGGATAAAACTCGACTTTCCAACACCGGAATCGCCAACAAACACTACTTTAAATACTCTCTCTGGCGTGGCGGGTTCACTAATGGTGGACGCACACGCTTCACTCATGTCTTGCTGTTGATGAACGAGAAAGCAGACAGCATAAATAAGGCATTCGTAAGCAAAATAACTTTGGAAAAAATAATTTCCAGGCGAACACAGTCCCTGTTACTCCGCAGAAGAAGCACAACTGATGGCAAAGGATCGAGACTCGAAGAGAGGTGGTCCGCTTGGCAAAACGTAATTAAATTTGTTGCGTTTCATAACGAAGTTATCAAGGGAGAGATTCTATTCAATTAAGAATCAAAAGCAAAGACGACTTGTTAACAGAAGTTTTAGCTAAACACTAGCTTACTAAAATCGTACAAATTATCTCTACCCTTTTGGGTTTTGCGACGCACAAAACTACAGAAAACCAATAACAAAGATAAAAAAAAAAAGATAAATTGTTAGACATTCGGGAAGATTTAGGTCCGTCCACACTACGCCGGAGAAATTTGAAAACATAGCCTTACATTTCTACGGTTTGACCGACCATCCGCACTAATCCGTCACGAAAACAGAACTTTTCGAAAACGCTCTTCAAACCGGAGGAATTTAAAAACGCCGGCTTTTCGTTTTTACGTGGATGGAGCTTTTCGAAAACGATGACATCACGATAATCACGTGACTTCCCTGCCTGAGTTTTCCTCAAACATGAATCCAAAGTGACCGGTGGTTGTCGAGTTTCCAGATTTCTCCTGCGTAATGTAGACGCAAAACATTTGATGCGTTTTTTAAAGTGAAAACTCCGTTTTCAAATTTCTCCGACGCAGTGTGGACGGCGTCTCAGACGGATTACGAAGGGCAAAGTTACAAGCAATATGGCTGTATATTTTAAAAAGATAATGGTGTTTTAAAATTGCAATCAACTTACTGATACTGTGCGACACATTTCGTTGTCCTTGCCAACAGGCGCCGCGCGAGGTGAGTTTGGTCGGTCGTCTGTTTCACTCCCAGTCTCTCCACTTAACCCTTCAGAATAAGACATGTCCGACTCGTTTTCTCCTGCTTTTAATCTACTCCGTGCTGAAACAAAAAGTATGTTTAAGTTGTTAGAATGGTCATAGTTACACGAGGTAAGGGACCTTATAGAGAACTTAGGCAATGACGACGGCGACCCCAAGAACGACGCCTAGAAAAAAGAGATTTTTTTTATTTTACCGTCGAATTCCGCGATTGTCTAAATTTGTTCAGTGCGCCTATTGGTCTCAGAGCTTGCTCAAGCTAAAAATGTAACGCCAGCGTTCAATTTTAAATTAGCATACGAAAAATTAGCCGCTGCCATTCGCGTTCTCCAAAATACGCAAAACTTAGTTTTGTGCTGAGAACGGCAAAGAAATGTACAAAGATTTATAACGCACGTGCACAACCATTGTTCTGCTCATTAAGGTGGCTCAAAACAGTTTCCAGCACTTACATTTTGATGGGTCGTTATAACCACTCTTTATCACTTGATGCTACAATCATGGTATCGAAGCACTGCCCAATCATTGATGAGCACATTGTTATCATTTTCGTGACGCAATAGGTTACCATAGCAACAGTATGACCTAAAAACACCCTTAGTTACAGCTTTAGGGGCTTATAATTCAAAAACGGCACGGTGAAATTTCTTTTACTTTATCAACTTTTGATAAGCATGATAAGACGCAAGTTTTGGCAAACTTTAAAAAAATTCTGTAGGTAGGGTTCAGAGCCACCTTAAATTCTCAAATTATAAGCCCCTAAAGTTGTAATTAAGGGTGTTTTTAGGAGGTCATACTGTTGCTATGGTAACCTATTGCGTCACGAAAATATAACAGTGTGTTCACCAATGATTGGGCAGATTTTTGATACCATGATTGTAGCATCAAGTGATAGAGTGGTTATAACGACCAATCAAAATCTACGTGCTGGAAACTGTTTTGAGCCATTAAACCTTCTGTTTGGTGACGTTCTGGTTTTCGTTGCCGTCGCGTTTTGCTTAAGCTCTCTAGTGTCACCATGATGGCGACGCGCACGTTTAGAAACTGAATTTAGGTTTTTCTCAAGAATTAAAATTGACAGAACCAATTTCCATGCAGCTGAATATACAAACGATTGGTTAAAATTCTAACACTGGTTGACGTTTTTCACGCGACGCAGATTTGGTTAGGACGCTGTTTTGCAAAAGCTCGTTGGCCACGGGAATGAGCCAAAATGGATAGCACAAGTACAAAGCTATTACACTGTTCGTTAACTTTTTTGCTTGGCGCCTTTCCCGTTGCGTGAATATTTGTTCTACGCAGTTTTATTACGAGTTGCTTCGAGGTTTGAGTTTATTGATAACCCTCCATAAGAGCATTTAAGTGAATGCTTTGAGCTGTAAATAGCAGTACTTTCATCTGGTACTGTTTGTTATTTTAAACAAGGTGGTTCTAACTTTTTTTAAGTCTGTGGATGAAACCCTGGTGTGTGACCACGGAAATGAAAGCTTCTGAGCAGTACGTTCATGTGGTACTGTTTATTAAGTTCTGTTAAGTGGTTCTAACTTTTAAATCTAAGGATGACACCCCAGTGAGTGACCATTCAAATGAAAGTTATTGAGCAGTCCTTTTGTTTGGTACTGTTTTGTTTGCAAGGTGGTTCCAACTTTTAAATCTGGGGATGAAACCCTAGTAAGCTATTGAGCAGTACTTTCATGTACGCTGTACAAGGTGGTTCTAACTTTTAAATCTGTGGATGAAACCCTGGTGTGTGACCATTTAAATGAAAGCTATGGAGTAGTACTTTCTCGTGGTTCTGTGCAATAACAGTACTTGTGCAGTCGAGCAATTACACGGGCTTCAACCCGCAACCACCAGATTTCATGCCTTCTCAAGGCAACCAACCTGCGCCAGATGTTAATTCAGCTTTTCTTTTCCTAAACACATCTTCTTCAAGTTCTTCGTCGCTTGTCCCGATCTGGTCTTCTTCCTCTTCTTCCTCCTCCTCTTCCTTTGCAATTTCTAAAACAATAATAAGTCCACTGTTAAATCAAATGCTGTAGAATTCCAATAACTCGTCAAATCAAGAATAATCAGTAGCAAATCAACCTAGAACAAGATAAGATTGATAAATTACATTCATACCTTTAGGTTGTACACAAGACAGTATTTTTTTGGCCCACGCAGGTTGTTCGAGTTCCTTTAATTTCTCGTCCGAGATGATTTCCAGTGTTGGATCGCCGTCAAACTCAGCTTCTTCTTGAATGGAATCATGCAGGGTCACAGAGCTAAGGGAGAGAGCAAAATAATATGCGAATTTCAAAAGCAAAATGAGATATGGATTCCCACATCTTTTTTCAGAGGGGGATAGAGTTATTACAATTATCATGTTCACCATAAGCAAACACAATTCAATTTTTTAGTCATGGTTTAGCTTGCATAGAGCTTACTGTTTCGTGTAGTTATAAACGAGCTCTCAGTTGTAGATGCGTATTTTTACACGAAGCTACGCGCGTTTTGCATACAGTTAATATGCTTTCAAATATTTAGGTACAATAGGCGTCTTTTGATTTAATGTTTGTTAAATTCATCATTTCTACGGTTATAGAGCGGTTTTCAATGAGTATCGTAAAACTAAATCAAATTACTGAATCACTCTGGCACTCAGATTATACAGACAATCCAGTGAACCAATCAAAACTCGAAGCTAGTGCACGTGGTCGATGTAAAGCGCGGGAAAACGTGTGCGAGCGAATCAAGATTGGTTTGGTCTTAGTTCTGATTACATAACAAAGTGGCGCGAAGTTTTAAGCCAAAAGCGCAGCGTGGTAATGCAAAACAAAAGTAAATACGAATTACTTACGATACTGAAGAGAAAACTGCTCTACAACTTGGTGTTGTTAAGCTGATTAACAATTTAATTCACATTACTAATTGTCACACAGCTCCTTTAATGTTAGTTCTAAGAAATTTGTAGTACATCAAGACAATAAACTTCCTTCTTATTTCACAGTGTTGATTACGTAAGGAGAAGTTGAATATTTATCGCTTTATTACTTACCCTTGACTATTGTTTGACAAATACGAATACATGACGGAACCTTGTTTCTTCATGTCACGCCGTTTAGAGCTCCGCCTTCTTGATCGTGTACCGTCGCTTGAAAAACAGGTTTAAAGCTCGTTTAACAGGCAGAAATGGGTGACACAGTTTATTTTTATTATTTAGCTCTTCTAGAAAGTTTTACAGTAGAATATTACGTTAAAATGGTTGCCATGCAATACGCCATTTCCGACGAGTTGCGTTTTGACTCTGTGTCAAATCGAGTCTTCTTGCAAAACCGTGATACGAAAATGTGTTCCGCCGACAAGTTCATTTTATATAAATCAAATTCATTTCCATATGAAAGGTTTTGCACAGGACTCGTTTTAAAGCAGAGCCACGAGGTAACTCGGAAATGACCTATTACAGTTACATTTCACGATTACCAATGCACTTTGTATTTCAAAACCTGAGGTAATGTAACGCTGTTACGTTTTCTTTCGAAAACCAAGCCAGGCATTAAAGACAATGCAATTTAGCGTGTAACAAGGCTTTATAGAACTATATTGGCGGCTTTACACCCGCAGATCTTTGTTGAGGTTTGTCTTAAAGACCTGTACCAGTGTTTCGATAGTGACAACAACTTGGACAAATCTTCAACGTCAAGTTTTACCAAGAAAAGGTTGAAGGACACTCATCAACCTCTCCTTGTTCTCAGTTTTATTTGATATTATTTAACAGAAACATTTCATTATCAAAAGCTCAAGTTTGGATTTAGTGTTCTTGAAATCTTGTCTCTCCATTTCGTTACTTCAAGTTCTTTAAATCTCCATTGAACTATATTGATTTTATAATTATTGATGTAAGTGTGTAACTGGAGCGTCTCTTCCGCGGACATGGTAACAGAGAAGCTCTGGGACATAAACGACACTGGTATATAATCCCCTCCTTCTCCCCCGCCGGAAGCAGTGAGCAGTTTCAATTGTTAGTTCAGTGAATGTTATATTGATTGACCAAACCCTTCCCCTCTTGTTTCCAGTTTAAGTAAATACGATCTATACCATATCCCTGGGACCTCTTATAAAAATAAACATTTTAACTGACCTCTTCCCCAGTGGGGCTTTCCAAGGATAATGGAAACAAATGATGTAAATGAACATTGCATGGTTAAAAATTCCAACTGGCAGGAGGCAGCCCAGTTGGCTGTTTACAAGTTTGGCTGAGGAGTTGAACCCGGGACTGCCGAGAACCACACCAGCTAGTCGTCAGAGCGGGACTGGAACCCGTAACCACTGGATTTCAAGTCCGGCGCCCTAACCACTCGACCCCTCTGCCTCTTCTCGTTCCCTAAACTATCCCTCCCCGCCTCATCATTTCCACAAAGAAGAGTCATTCAAATGCAATACATGTACAAACCTTCTGTTGTTAGGTCCGTCCACTTCCTCTCCACTAAAAGACTCCACTGACCCTTGGTTGCCCCAGGTCTCCTCGGCGGGAGGGGCACGTCTCTTTTTCACATACTTAGACATTTGCGAGCCCTGGCGCGACACTTTGGTTTTCTTCTATAAGCACGTGAATATGCAAAAGAACACGGTGAGTTACTGCGCCATCAAACCTTTTTACCACCAACCTGCTCATGTAGGAAAAAAACAGGGTCTAGATCATGTAGAAACACGTAAGGAGAGGAAGAACATGAACGTAAGATTTTAGAAGAGAAGGGAAGATTCAAAATGTACGAAAAAAGAGTACATCGTCAGTTATGAAAGTCACATTACTATTTTAGCGGATTTAAAAGTGAGAGAATGTAATAAAAATGAAATGTTGAATATGTGGACGTTGAGTTTGACTACAGGATTTGAAACTGGTGATAAGGTTACTCAGGTGTAAAATATAATGCCCGTATATTCCTCCCCAAATATATGTTGCCATAATTTTAAGCCGCAGTAAGTTACTTTATGGAGCGAGCTAGTTTAAAACATTTCACGCAAATTTCAGTTTTAACTTTGAATTCCTACTACATTAAAATCCGCTAAAATTAACAATTAACAGCATCAGGCTGAGATTTCGGTTTCAACGCCAGGTATTTTAAATGTTCAGTTTTGCTTTAATTACGTAATACTTTTACATCAAGATAAACGTACTTTAGAAAGGCAAATTTTCACAGGCGTATCAATCTCGTACCGAGAGCCCACTTTTCCTTTGGTCAGCACCAAGAACTCGGACTTTGGCCAGCGACGATTTTTTTGAGCATGCGCAGAGTACTCATTTTCGATTGTCAGCCAAACAGCATTAAGCTGAAACGGCCGGAAGTCCGTGAATCGCGGGATTGTCAAATCGGTAATGGAAAGCGGGCTTTGAGAGCGAGATTGTATTCGCGTAACATACACAACATGCACAGACACAGTAAAGTGCTGCTAAGTGGCACCTTTTGAAAGGAAATTAGCGTTCTCGTCCCCAGTGCTACTCGTTTTAAAATGTGACCAAAAAAAACGGAGGCTCTGGGGACAAGAATAGTACATCTTACTGCGTCTGCGCGTGTCACTCATGCTTACGTACGGTCATGCACTTGTGAATACCAGCCTTAAAGAACCATTCATGTTTGTTTAGGTTTTATTGTTGTTTGTTTGTTTGTTTGTTTTAATAGAAGGTCACGGTGAATAGATATGTGAAAGCACGGAGCCAACGTAGATTCGAGTTACTTTTAGAAAAGGTTTAAAAGCGATTAAAGCGGCTCATTTCTTACCTCAGCTTCTTCAATCTCATCACTGAGACTGTGTCCTCTCTCTTTTTTCTGTTTAATAAGCAGTATTTATTAGATACAATTTCTCTTTAAGTTGCGCCTCGTTTAATAATCTGCAGTCATCTTAGAAATTGAGTCAAAACAACGTGAAGCAAAAGATTTAAGTTAACGGCTGGGTTACTTAAAATTGAATTTACTTACTCGCTTTAAACACATTGAAATCGGCTATAGCGTCAAAACTGGCAATGCTCACAGAGTGCCCAAGCTCATGATACCGCAAATAATGCCAGGAAAGTTTGGGACGATTGTTACAATGTAGACAATTAACAATGCTAATAATTCTTTCAAGTGTCACTTGAAAGAATGATTAGTATTGTAAATTCAGACTAAATATTGCCGTTGAAACAAACCAACCGTTCAAGGAAAGTACGTACAAAAATGTTTGTGGTGGAATTAGAACTCCAGTAGATCACTCGATCGGTAGCTCGGTCGTTTGCTCGTTAGGTGTGGTAGGTGGTTCGGCCATGCATGCAGTCGGTTGGTGGCTCGGTTGTTCCGTCGTGTGGTCGGTCGGTGCCTCGGCTGTTCGGTCGTGTGTTGGGTTAGTGACTCGGTCGTTCGCTCGAGCAAGCGATTCTTGGCTCGGTCGTTCGGCCGTACGGTCGGTTGGTGTATCGGTGGTTCGGTCGTGAAGTCGGTTGGCGGCTCAGACGTTCGGTCTTGTTGTCAGTGTTGGCCCGGTCGTTCGGTCGTGCGGTCGGTCGGTACCTCGGCAGTTCGGTAGTGCAGTCGGTTGTTGGTCCGGTTGTTCGGCCGTATCGTCGGATGGTGGTTCGGTCTTGTTCGGGGTTGGTGGCCAGGTCGATCGTTCGTACAGTCGTATACGGAACGTGTTATTACTCACGGTACCGTGAGCTTGGGTATAGTAAACATGCCAACCTTAATCATACGACATACGAGATCAAGACAGATACTCCTTATTGAGGAATGTTGATACGAACTTAACGCTAAACCCCATTACTGTGTGAACAGAACTCTTTGAAGGATAAATTGTTAATATTTAGTTTCATATAATAGTCAAATAAGGTTTATTTGCCATAAATTTAAATCACATTCAGTAATACATCAAGTAGATTATGCAGCATTAAACCTTTTTAATGTGCTAAAACTAAGGCGCACTAGTTTCCGTAAGAGCGCTATGATCGCTGCAAAAGAAGTTCAGCTATCGTTGCGACCATATGGAAGCCAGTAGTCGTAAGGATCGCTGGACGTTTTCTGCAGCGACCGCTATGATTGCAGCGATTAAATGAAACCAGTCTTTACAGCTTCAAAAGTTAACTTTACGTTGAATTATGCTCAGTTAAAAAGCGCGTTTTTGCCTCATTTCTGTTAATGGTTAAGCAAGGTTTAGAAATTAACGTTCGGATATTCGTAAGAAGCTATACTGTTTAAGAAAAATCTAAAAAATCGATTCCTATGTTAAAATAAGTTCCTGGTGTTATTTTTCAGGAGAAGACGTAAACTAAAGAAATTTAAAGTTAAATTCAACGATTCTGTCTTCATCTAAACGTCACATGACTTAAGAGTCTAATAGAAGCCTTAAGATAAATCAGTGTTACAGCTACAGTAAGATAGAGAAAAAGAAGAACGCAAAAAGAAAATAAACAAATAAACAAAACAGAAAATAAACAAATACGTACAGCCATTAACATCTGTGGCAAATCCCAAGGAAGATCCAGCACATGCACAGTAAGCATTGGCAAAAACAAGTCAGTCAGTTAAAAAGAATGATTATTATTAATTCATATTATTTCATTAATAAATCATTCAAGACACACAACGTTTTGCACATGTTTTCTGCAAGAGAAAAACGTCATAAAGTATCCCAAGCGAACCAGGGTTGGCTTTAAATCAATATACTAAAAAGCAAAAGTGTTAAAATACGTTTAGTTGTAAGAGGCTTTTTTCGCAGGAATTGTGTCAAAAAGAGGAAGTTAGTTGAGCAGGTAGAGTGTGTGAGTGATGTTGAATACAGTTGGATGTGTGAAATGCGTAAATAACGAAATGTGTAGCTGCTTTGACAGCAACTATCCCGCACCATTTGTCGTCCTCTGCGTACAATATTGTACAGCTTTGACCGTGCCATGCAGTTAGAATTCGACGGTATTATATCCAAACTTCCCATCATGCACCGCGCGTATGTCGCATTGATTAGTTTGGCCACTGTATTTTCTATGGCATGGTATAAAACAGTTATGCAACGCTCTCTCGTGGTATATCATGGAGTATCCCACTTGTCACTTGTATTTTCTCGGTTAAACACGAGCCTTTAGGTGAGTGTGTATACCGTGAGGTATATAATATCTTATTAGATGTTTTGATATGTAGCATCGCTGTATACTATTACGAGTTATGCGGTATTTTGACGAGCCCGTAAGACGAGTCAAACTACAAACAACGAGTAGAAATATAAAGCGATACTACACACCTAAACATCAAATAAGAGATTTAATATCCAACTGCTGTAGTCAATAAATTTATCAGTGAAAGAGGGAGAGTTTGACAGTTATGCGTGCGCGCGCCGACCCGTCCGGCAAACAGGTTTTCTACTGTACAAATAACTGAACAATATCGCTGCATAATTGTACTCGTTTCGTGCGATATTTCCAAGGTATTCGCTGCAGTTGGACAATAACATGGGTTATTCCATGGTATACCACTCCAAACCGTTGCATAACTATTATCTATAGCTTATAGTTTACAAATAGGACTATGTACATTCCACTTTCTAAATATTTGGGTGAGAACAATTCCGAAGACTACCAAAAGTGAACGAGGTCGCTGGCTGAGTTCAATTTTGCAGTCAGAGAAGTTTTTCTCGTACAATTATTTGCAAATTGGACTATGTCGAGGTCACATTACCCTTTACGTGTAGGGCACACGAACTGTGTAGATTACTTTTATATAATATGTCGAATTATTCTCGCACGATTGGTTCTTAACCACATTTTGACGTCATCTGTGATCTATTATTGAACAGACGCACGGCAACATGGAATCTATTTGTCAGATTGGGCACTACCCAACTTACGAAATAATTTTGGTTGACAATATAATTTGATAATTGCGGGAAATCTGGAGTTTTCCTCTTTGTAAAAGGGTATTTAACATATTATCTCACCAAAGGACAGATAAGGGGTCTCCAAACTGGCCTGACTTTGTCTAGCCTAGTATGACCTAGTGATACGTGACTATCACCTTAATATCTTATTGATTCCCTCAAGATAACAAATATAACCCTTAAATAGTGTGGATAAATAATGCATAAACTCGTTATGAAAAGGTGGTTAACACCTAATCATTCAGTCTAGTGTTAACCAGTTCAAGACTTACCGCTTCATGCGCAGCCTCAATAGCGTCCTTGTCATCCCTAAGCTTTTGATTCATATCCCTTCAATCAAAAAGAGCAGCACTAATTATAATGTAGTGGACCCAAAATGAAGTCTCAACGCGATGGAGGTGTGTTCGAGTAGCGAGATTACACGAGGGTTAGTCTACACAGTCATAGTTACCTCAACATATCCAACTGCTTGATGAGACTCGCTTGTTCCTTTTGCATGCCTTCTGATACTCGCATGGCCGCTCTGAAAAGAGAATGCAATTCTCAGTTACGGAAGCTATATACTTGTCTGAGGATTACAGTCGTTCCTTGGCTCAGGTGCTAGCGCCGAGCCAAGTCAAACACCACACTTGTTATCGCAATGAATATAACTTTATCAATAATTCGAGAGAGAATAAGATAAAGCCCAAAGAGAATGCATGCTTTGATCAACGAAACCCAGTGAAATTCTCTAAATTTCATAGCAAACTGAAAAAACAACATTCGAGTTTTCTAATTTCAAACAGACTGTATCAGAATACGGCGGAGAGAAAGAAAAAAGCGTACTTTATAAACATCGCTGTAGCTTCTCAACCTCTTCTTTTGCAGTAGCAAACTAAACCCTTAAGCTTTGCACTAATAAAACACAAGAAGTACCCTTTCTGAGTATCTCTCGAGACGCTTGCAAAATTGCTTTCATCAGCACAACTGCTACAATTGCACAACATGGTTTGGCAACCTTTCTCCGAGACGTCTACTGTCAAAGAAGAAACTACTGGCCTGGGGTCTAATTCAATGTTAGTCTGAAAGAATTCTGCCTGGAACTCGAAAAAGGATTTTTCAATAGTCTCAGGGCTCTTCCCATAAGTAGCAGGACGAAGACGGGATGTCATTTGAGGCGAAGTGCATATCTCGGAATACACCTCGGCATTGGCATCGTTGGATAAGTCCATATCTTCAGATCGATCATTTGGAAGCTCAGAACCTAGGTCATCCAGATGATGTGGCATCGTTTGGCATTCCTTTGATGTTATGAGGAACATCTCCCCATCAGGTAGTGTCTGACTTTCTCTGTTCTCATAAATAGTAACGGGTTTTAACTCGGTCGTCTGACAGACCTTTGAAGATGAGAGGAGAAGATCCTGATCGGGCGTTGTTTGACTCTCTTTGTTATGAGAGGGTGGTGGTGTGACTCTCTCAGAAGTATCTTCAGTCTGGGTGCTTTGAACACTGAATTCTACTTCTATACCCTCAAAGGGCTCAAATGAAGGATGATCTAAGTCATTCATGGGGTCTGGCGTCGCTTGGGATTCCTTACTGTTATAGGCAACAATCGGATGAGCCTTAAACCCTTTGAGAGTGTTTGGAATATCAGATGCAAATTCCGCCAGTGTCTGGCATTCCTTTGATAATAATAGTGGTAGGCTGCTGTTGGACAATGTTTGGCATTCTTTGCTCTCGTACAATATTCCGCCCTCGTCCCCTACGTTAGTGCGATCCACCGGAGTCTCTTCAGGAGCACGAGGCCATGAGGAGGTCTGGCAGTGCTTTGACGTCGCAAGAATCATGTCTTCGTCGAGTAATGTTTGACACTCTTTGCTCTCGCAGGAAGGGAGCCGGAGTGGTTTGGCTTTTTCGGAAATTAACGCTTCTTCTACACCACGAGAAGGTAATATGTTACACTGGGTTGAAGACGTTGCTAGCAGGATGTCACGTGATGTTTGGCATTCTTTGTTCGCAAGAGGAAGAAAGTCAGATGATCCAACCTTCTTACTTGAAAGTTCACTGCTAGGGTTTGAAAATAGGTAGTTTTCAGACGTCTGGCATTCCTTGTTCTCAAAGGAAACTTTATAAGACTCTTCAGCGCCATGCAAATTGGCGTTTCTGTGATCAACTGAAAAACGCGAAGAGTCTTCAGTGCACGAAAGTGTCTGACATTGCTCGGAAGACGTCAAAATAAGTTCATAATCGGTTTGGCAGTCTTGGTCAGCGCATAGACTTTGACTGTTTCTCTGAATATTTTCCCACTCTACCTGTACACCACAACTAGTGTAGAAATTGGGTGGTAGTTCCGTTCGACACTCAATGCTTTGTTGCTGCAAGGCTTCTGGTTGAATATCCATGTCAGTGGACTCATTTGTTTGACATTCCTTATTCATAACGGAGGACGAAAATGACGTCTGGCTTTCCTTTGTGTTGTACTCTGGTTGCATGCATTCCTTCAGTAGCTCTACTTGACACTGCTGGTCAAAGACCTCCTGGACTGAAGGATTAGCATGGTATCCGTTTACTTTGAACGTGCTCAACATTTCCGCGTCCTCGGCACCTTCTAAGCTAGGTTGTGTGTCAAGTTTCTGCAAAGAAGCTGAGAAGACAGCTGATTCTTGATTACCATCGCTTTCTTTTTCCTGGGAACGTTGGTGTAAATACCTGTGGAGGCAGCCACAATGGGTCAACTGATTGCACGGTATCCAATCAGGGACATCATTGTTAACGGTCTTCGATCCAAGAGGAAAACCGTCTCGATCACTTAGCTCGAACACCGTTTCCTCCAAACATGCTCCTGTAAATGTTTCGCCCACGTGTGTCTCACTGACATGCACATAGAGCTCTCGCATTCCACCCCCTGGTTTACTCATCTCGCCAACTTCTGCTTGAGTAGTCCCATCTGGTAGGCTGATCAAATGCCATACATCAGTTTTAGCATCTCTTTCAATTTTCGTGCTGTTTTCTGCGTCTGTATTTCTCACTCCATTGATTAGATTAAGAGAGTTCCACTCGTTTTGAGAAAGACATTCCTCTGGTTCTTGGTAGCTGCAAACCGCTTCTTCCACCTCATGGTGTCTCTTCTCTCCTTCATCCGAGATAAGGACGTTATCCGTTACATTCATTTTACGGGATACACCCTCACGTAAATCAAGGTCACTTTCTACGGGAAAGGCATTCTCTTCGTCGGTTAGCTCATTGCTAACAGAGTCAGGTTTCGTAGAACACAGATCAGCTTCGTCAGACATCAGTTCCACTGTACCCCGTGTTCCATCTTGAGAGTGTTCACTGGCATCCAAGTCTACAAAACAAACATCCTCGTTCACACATAGCTCTTCATTGCTAGTTTCGGGTCCTCCAGGGGAAGGTGTTAAACCATTGTTATCTTTGTCCTGCCGATGGGCTGAAACGGAAGGCAGTGTTTCTATCGTCTCTGCCAATGGATGCAGAGACTTATCACATTTCCCTGCTGTATCTTTGCAAGAGTCATTTCTAGACCGAATAAGGAGGATTTCAGAGACTTTCTGTGGTCTTTGAGCGTCTGGCAAAATCGTAATTGCACTCGGTTGTTTAGTGGGAATTTGAATTATTTCTTCGTTGTCAAGGCTTTCCGAATGGCCATCCAGCGATTCAGGTTTGTTAACTAAAACGTTGATCTCCTCTACAGAAACATCTAGAGTGTCATACAACCCAGCAGCTGAGCCACCAGACATAGGGGGATCCATTTTAGTTCCCTTGTTGCGATCCCTTTTTATTAGCTCTAAGTTTTCCTTTTCCACCTTTTCAACTGACGGGATAGAAAGACATTGATCTTCCTCTTTTGATGGTAAGTGGATCCATTTTGGGTCATCCCCACTGGCAATTTTGTTCTTGTCGATTAGATTTGTTCGCTGGACTTCACCTTCCACCTTTGATGCTGTCTTTTCACCTACCACTTCATCGATATCAGGATGGCTGCTACTTTTCGAACATGGAGGCGTTGACAGAGAACTCTGATAAACGTTAGCTCTGACCTCTAGGCTTTCGTCCGCGAATCGTTCGGAAGAAAGGCCGCTAAAACTGAAATCATCATGTCCACTGATCTCAGGCGTAGCTAAACCTTGGGATTCATATTTCGTAGCTTCCTGTGCTGCAGTTGGCGCGACATCATGACTCCCGTCAAACTCTGGAACATACGAAATATTTTTCGTGCCGTTGTTAATGAGGACATAGGCTTGAGCTGTTATTACTATTGGCGTCACGTCGGGTGTAAACATTTCTACAGTTTTTGTCGTTTCCATAGAATCCATGGTACTGGAATGGCCACTTTCAATTGCTCTTCCTCTACTGGCGTCTACTTCTGATGGCTTCGTATTACTCTCTTCTTTGCTTGTGAACGCGTGGGTTTCTTTGATCGACGGCTGTCCTTCTCCCAGTGAACGAACAGGAAGTTCAACAGCTTTTCCAGAACTTTCTTCACGTATTTTGAAAGCCTCTTTCGTTGAAAATAATTTCTCTGTACCGCTGTAACCAGAGAATTTGTCATTCGAATGCGAACGAAAGTTGCCGTCCTTTTGTGATGCTTCCAAAAGATTTCTCATCTTCTTGGAATACTTTGCTTGCTGCTTTTGGTCCTCAGGATTTTTCCTTTTTGCTTCAGGGGTACGTTTTTTATGCGCCGAGCCGTAAATTTGAGAAACTGCTTCATCTTCGCTTAGTTGGCTTAGACTTTCTTCTTCGTTTTCACCATGGTGATCAGCAATACTTTGCTCCATTGGCTGGCAAGGATTCCGGAGAGACACCTGAGATTCTGGGTTGGTATCGCGCACTTCCCTTTCTTGGTCAGTTGTACTACCTGGCTTACAAGTGTTGACTGTCTCTACACTATCGTCCGTACTTATGCCCTGAATCCCAGCCATAAGAGATACATCGTCATTTTTCCTGCTCTCGGAAAGAGAATTCAAAACGAAGTGAGCATCATGTACAGAAAATGCGCGATCGTGGTCATCAGAGAAGTCATTCATATCATGGACGATAGGATCGCAGCTCTCGTTGTCCTTAGGCTCACTTTCAACATCATGAAAAAAATAACCATAGTCAGTGTTACGGTTTTGACTGCTGCCGGAATTATTCTTCATCGCCAAATTGTTTTCCCTTTGGTTTTCTAAGATGGAAACAGAATAATCCTTCTTTGAAATTATTTGGCTGTGACCAATGGCTGAGTCATAAACTGGCAAATCTTCTTTCATGACAAAGTCTCCTGACATAGATTGAAGGCCTTCAGCAATTTCCATTGCGAGGCTCTGATCTTTGTGTGGTTGTTGTTGTTTGTGTCCTTCCAATTGAGTCCCAAATACACCACAGCTCCAACTTTCTGGACACACTTGATCGTCTTCTTTCAGTCTCGTTTTTAATTCTTCGCCACTGGTACCATTGTCCACGAAGCCGGCTTCGATTGATTCACGGATAGTTTGTTTAACGGGAGTCAGTAAGTCGGTCTTAAATTCCGCGGCAGTATACCCATCGGAAATGTTTCGCTGTACTTCATCAGTCATCAGCAAAGTTTCATCTCGTAAATTTCCCGTCCCCGGTTCGAGATATCCAGTAGCTTTAGAATCTTGCTTTCCCCTGTGAGAATCAATACCTAAGCGGTTTGCAGAATCCCAAGGCGGTGAGAGTTTAGTCATCTTTACCTCTCTATCTGGTGCAGAACAGTCTGTAACGTTCTTTAAATCGTGCTCATTTTGTGAGTCAACTGGATCTGTTTCGTCAGGTAACTTTTTCTCATCTCGTGGTTTGACTTTATCGTGTTCCTTCCGATGTTGCTCATCTTCTTTTCGTTTTCTCCGGGGCCTTCTGTTTTGGACAGACTTGCTGATTGCTTTTACTCGTACGTCTCTCTTGCGTTCTATAAAGCCTGAAGAGTGCTTCTGTAAAGGAACAGCTTGTTCTTTATCTTCACCCTCTATAAACCCTGAAGAGTGCTTCTGTAAAGGAACAGCTTGTTCTTTATCTTCACCTTCTGTTACACTTTTAGATGAAGGTAAGCGTTTATCATCTTCATTCACATCCACCATATGATTAAGCCTTCCACGAGAAGGCAGCGACTTCGGTTCATCGTTACAATGACTTGGGCTTGACCGAAAGATTTCTTCTGGTGATGGGGACGGTTTACCAATGGAAATGTCATCTATTCTCTCTTCTCTAGACGACCCGATTAGAGCTTTTTCAGTTGCCTTCGATTTCACCACCATATTATCCGTGGGAATATCACATTCAATGGCTAATAAGTCATTGCTGCGTTCGTAAATACGCTTATCGTCGACGTCGACTGAGGGTTTGCTTTTGAAGTCACTTCCAGGAAGCATTGGCAAACGATTCCTGTAAGCGCCGATATTTTCCACGTCACCACTAGAAGCCCCGCTCTCTGGATTCAACGCGTTTACATCAACGCTGGTACTTTTTTCTTCCTCTAAAGCAGGGTTTTCTGGTGTTCCGAATACTCCAAACACAAACCCACGACTTCTTCCTTTACTTCTCACAAGTGGGAATTGCGATCCCTTAGAGACATCTTTGTCGGCCGTATCAGCCTCGAACTCTTTTCCGTCACTTGAAGCGTTAGCTTCGCGTAGATACTCTATTTCGCTTCTCTTTAGCTTGGGCCTTGCAGCAGATTTCTTGAGATCGTCATCGCGATACACTCTCACAGCGGGCCCTCCAGAAATTCCAGTTACCACACAAGCCATAACTCCGTGATCGCGCTCTTTTCCATCGGGTTCTCCTCTCCTAGAAGAGTCCCTGCTTCTGTGCATTTTGTGGCGATCTCTCCGGCCGACGTTTGACGCGATTTTTCTTTTCGTTTTCGCGTCCTCTTGTTCACCAACAAGCGCAAAACACACAAAGCTGCTGTCAGCGCTGCTTGTGGAAGAACAGTCATCCTCTATAATATCTGAACTGTAGCATAATTCCGAATCTACAGAGTAGGAATCATCGAGGCTGACATCCATGTGGCGTGACGTGTCCTGTGGGCCCTTAGAGATGACCTCTTGACCACGAAGCCGGGGGACTGAACTAATATTTTCCTTTCTACGAGAATACGCTCCAGCGCCGGGTAAGCGTCCAAAGCCACCAGAATCCTTCAAAGACACGACTGCTTCATTGCGGTCTGTGTGATTTCTTTCCGAATCAGCCTCACTCGAAAAAGACCCCGATACCGGGCGATTGAAATGATGTGTTTTGTTCGACACACCAGGTCGCTTTTGTAAACAGTAATTTTCGTCGTAGAAACTTTCACTGCATGCATCACTCTCAAATACCGAATCTTCTACAATAGAATCGTCCGGAATTATTTCTTGACTGGAATGTTGCCCCGAGTAACTTCCGTTTTGTGGATTTTTCCGCCTTCTTGAAGTTGCAGTTGATGTCGCAATCTCTTTATCATCAGTCATAAGTGACGATTCACTTCCACTGCTGAGAACATTGACGTACTCCAGGAAAAGTTCAGAAACTTCTCTCTGACCCTGTGCTTCCGGCCAAGTTTCGTCTGTATAAGCGTCGACAGTAAGGAATTCTGGAAATTTCTCCCCTGAACATGAGCTGGAAGCCAACGATGTTGCCGCTTCATCTTTGTCGTCGATCAAACTCTGTAAACTGGATGTCGGTGACGTTGGATAGACGCTCAAAACGTTCACAAAACGGCGAAACTGGGGGTCCAGCCGACCCACATAGGTTGGCGAACGAGACATCGATCGCTCGCACCAATACAAAGACCAGAAAGCTTATAACTAAACTGCTAATTCTCTCGTCCTTACTGTGGCGTGCGTCTGTCGACAAAGGGTTGTAATCCAAGCGCTTGAGTTATGGATTTACAAGGTATTTAATTCCACGCCAATCAATCAAGTTTGATGATCTTGTGTGTTAAAAGGCACGAACAGCATTCGTAGTGCAAACAACTTCGAACAATTTGACTGGCAGAAGTGTTCATTATTCCACCAGTGTACACATATACTTAAAATTCTTGAATAAATATTCTATGCGTGTTGGTTGAATGGAATTTACCGACGTTTCTCGGAAAATTAAACATAATTTTTTGAGTGTTGTAACTTCATAAGCATAAAACTGTGTATTCTGGCGAGTTTATATGAACAGTTAGTCGTGTTAATATTACTATTTCGAGTTAATAGTCATCGTTTCTCCAGTTTGTTTTACCAGAAAACATCTGCAGGGGCTCTACGGACCGCCGACGCGACAGAAGTTATTAGTGCCAAATGACGCGAGGGCAAAAAGACATTTTTTTCTCTAAACAATACAACAAATATATGCAATAACGCTACTTAACTTAGAAAACTAATTTCAGCTTGACCTTAAAGTAAACAAGTATAAACAGTGACTATGAAGTGCTAGGTTTTTTCCCATGTTAGGGACTTCAATTACTAAAATTAAAAGAAAAATCCACTTCGGTTTTGTCATCTGAGGTTCAGTTAATCAGTTTACGTTTGAGTGTCCTATTAACGCGAAAAAATTGCAAAGATCATCTTACAGTTATTTATAGTTCTTATTTTTTTAATGTTCGTTCATTTGGGCGCAGTTCGTTGCCTTAGAAATTTTCGATCAATGACCTTTTCTCAGCTTCTTTCCAAAATAAATTGTGTGATTTAAAATGTAATGAACTCTCTTTCAAATATCGACAAAAATAGCAAGAAATTGAAAGATTAAGTTTTCTTCCCAGCGTGTTCTGCTTCCACTATAAAACGGACCCCAAAACAGTGTGACACGCATGTTTGACTTATGCCACACATTTCATGCGTGTCAATAAAATGACATTTGTAAATGTATATATCATTCCCATAATTTCGTTAGTGGCTGATAATTTTACCGGTGCCAATTGAGAATAGGAGAAAGATCGATTTGGGAAGAGATTTGGGTTCTGGATGTCCGGATGTAGAACAAAATAAAAGCGACAGAATTTGAGATGTCATCGGGCACGAATTCTTTTGACAAGAGACATAGAAACTTGTCCAAGCTACCTACTTAACTGAAAGCAGTTCAGCATAACAGTGCTTTCGAGACAAAAGTTCGATGAGAAATATTCAACGATGGAAAAATTTGCATTTTTAATATTCATCTCGTGTTTACATAGCGTGATACGAACAAATACGGCAGAGAGTTTGGGAAGACAGCAAAGTTGAGCAGTGTAAACACTTTGTGAAATTTTGACACCAAATTCTTACTCTGTGCAAAACCAACCAGCAGTGTCCTATCTTTCTGCAGAACAAATCCTTGAAAGCGCTCGAAGATTTTCTCATTCTTTAGATTCTATTCTACAAACAATTGTAAGATCATTCGCGAATACTCTAAAAGTTGTCGCGACAGCATACATTTTTGTTGCTTGGCAACCCTTTGACACGGTTTGGGATTCAGTGAATTCCAACGTAGATGACCGAACTGGGGTAAGCATCCAGGCGAAAAGAAAAAGCTACCCGCTTAATAAAAAGCAGCACGGAAAAAGTACTGCTGTTTAAATACCCATCCAAGAGCGTAACACGAAAAGAAGCTGAGCTTAAAGGGCGGGGGGAGGGGGAGGGGGGGACTGACTAGTGTTGATTTCGTCTAGAGAGAGTACCGGTCCGCTTTATTGTATTTTCTTTTTTCCAGTTCCCTGTAATTCACTCTGTGTACCCTCCAAATTTTGGTTAAACTATTGTTGTGAAATGCTCTTAGGACTATGTAGACCTCCATAGGTTCATGGAAATTCCAGGGGATGGGGGGGGGGGGGGGGGGGGGGGGGGGGGGGGGGGGGGGGGAGAGGGGGAAAAACAGAGTGCATTATGGGAAATTGGAAAATAAAGAATTAAATGAAAAGAAAAAGACAGAGAAGAGCCAGAAGATACATTCAGTGTTTTCTGTGAATTCTAGATGAGAGTTAAGTCCCAGGTGGTCACCAGAAATGCCGCTACGTAGACGAACTGTTCAACAAGAAGTAGACGATCATGCTCCTGACAGACTATGGCAATATAAGAAGGACCTGATCCGTTTTGTTTGGAATGAGAATTGCCCTTGCGCACTTGTATATAAATCTTTATATACTTATCTCCTGTTTTCTGTCAAACAGCAACGTGAAATGACCAAATTCTACATAGTCTACAAAACGTGAGTCATGATGGCCATTTTTTAAATCTTATTTTTCGAATTCAACGTTGCCTTAAACGTTCAGTTATGAGATAGCTCTGACAGTAACAGACAAACTGGATGACTCAAGATTATCGTGAGATTCGTAGGTTAAATGTAAATTCCTTTTTCAATCGGCTTTCTCCTCGACGCTGCAGTCGTGGGTGCTTAAACTACGTGTTTTTACAATCCCGTAACGGACCGTGACTCTAATGGTTTTGTTCATGTTATTACAAATAGCTCATCACATACCTAGCCCTCTCTTTTTTCTCCATGGCCGTTTGAGCCTGTAGCTGGTTGACATAACTCTTGGTATCTTCTAACGAACTGACGGAAGTACTCAGCATTTCCTCTAGATGAATTGTTTTCTAAGTGGAACATAAACAATACATCAATGTGTTGAAAACATTACCTTGAAACCCGCTTTAGTAAACAGGAACAGGCTAAATGTATTAATTTGAGCCCTGTTGAGCTCTGAAGAGGGATTAGTACCGCAGGACTCAAAACTGAATCATAGAGCGTGTTTCTTTGGGAAAATGCAAGATTGGATTCTTAAATTCAAAAACGGATTTGCCGTTTTCTTTACTAGACAGATTAACCCAAGATCACTCGGATCATGGTGCATCAAACGAACCAAAGAATTCTTTCTCAGAGTGGATCCTTCGGTTCCTTTGATGCACAATCTATTTAGTAAAAGACGGAAAATCCGTTTTTATAGATGTAAGAATCCAACCTTGGATTTTCCCAGAGAAACGCGCCCATGGTCGCCAAGGGGCTCGCAGGGTTCCGACATACTGTGCACAAACCTGCAGACGGGGAAGAGCGGGGAACTCTTAACTAGTAACCAAAGACTGAGAACTAGGCGGGACTAATAAACGCTGAAGAATTATAAGCGGGCTTTTCCAATAAAGGCATTTTTGGCGATTTCAACATCTTTCCTTGAAACTGAAAGAAACCCAAAAACAAGTATTTGAGGAACACTTCAGATGTAATGGAAAGCCAGACAGAAAGAGGGATTGTGCCTGTTTCTATACAAAAGCAGCTCGTACTTTGAAGCTGTAATTAAACTTTTCACCAACCTGAAAGAGTTTTTCGTTCTCATTCTTAATGTCCTGTTCCATTTCGTATTTTTTTCGGATTTCTTCTTCCAGCTAATATATAAATGAATAAAAAGTAAATAAATAACATAAAATTTAAAATTTAGACACCGAATGGCTACCACCACATTCACTGAACGACCAAGCTTTTGAATTTCTCACTTAATTCCTCATCGTAACTCGACGCACTGCAGTCTGTCGACCTCTTTGTCAAGAATCCACCTCACAAACGGTTGAGACGCCGCGTCATCCAAAGACGAAGAAGAGTATATAGTAGAGGAGGTTCAGGCTTATCTTANAATACCCACCCCCCGAGAATGTTCACATGAGTCACTGAAGGGGTCTTCAAGTCTCTCCTTAACTTAAGTAACTAGAGCAACTAACTTTGCGTCAGCTTTAATAAACTCCACACAGCACAATGGGAAATACAACAGAGAACGGGTATTTTCCCAACAAGAGAGTGCGAGGACTGACCGATTTTTGCCTTTGTAAAAGAAGTTGCATTTCTAACTCCTTGCTTTCCAGTTCTCTCACAAGCTCATCCTTCAGAGCTTTTTCCCGCTTTATTTGCTGAAAAGACACAACACATACGTTAATGAGGGGCATAATGTCAGCTCTGACCATTGACGGTAAAAACAACAACAACAACAACAAACAAATTGGCGGCTGGTGGTTAGCTTAAAAGCCGTTTCACAGGTGACCGTTAAAAGTGAAGGCAGTCGAATAACACAATAATCAAGGTTTTCCTTATTCTAATGATTCTCCACGAAAACCGAAACACAGGCGGGTGAAAGTCGCGTAGCAGCAGCTTTCCTGAGATTTCAACGTCTTTTTCTTCTAGATGCACACTTGCGGTCCGCTCACGCTGGGTGAAATGTGAATTAAAATCGATTCAATTTTTTTACGCACTGTCGGGAAAGGCGGCACAGATAAAAGAAAAAAGCAAACAAAAACAAACAGACCGAAAGCGAGATACCCTAGCAAACGTTCTCTTAAATAGATACCACCAAAGGATTGGTATGCTCTTGATACCACGAAATCCATCAAACTCCTGAAAAACAGTTTGCACCCTGAAAGAGGTCTCTTAAAGAGACCCAAAAAAGCTCGGCTATCGATCTGTTGACAAACACGGAGAAAAACAAACAAACAAATAAACACAAACACAAGCAGACGATTAAGCTGTACAGCAGTAGCTAAAAGTGCAAGCGCGTAAGATGTCACTGCTGGTCACCTGTGGAAATGGCTGCCACAAGCGAGCTGCATGCGGAAACTGTGGAAGGGAAATGTTTTGGTTAAAAAGTTTTGCCATACATACGGGCAACTGTAATCTGAAGATCCGTACGATTGTCCAACGAAGGACTCGGTGAAGGTGAAATGTCGGAAACAGCGAATAAGAGGATTTCGCTTGCTCTATTCCAGGTAGGTACCTTTTGTTCTACAATGCAGACCTTGTAAAACAGTTAAGAACGTTTGATCAACTGAAAGTGCTACAAAGAAGTGATTATTCATTCAGCCCGTGGTGATCTTTCTTGACACTTCCTTGATATTTTGATGCAAGGATCGTCAGAGACAATGGACAATATCAATCATGGCACTTTTTGCCAGGAAGTGATCGAGAAAATTATAAAAAAAAAATTGCAAAAATGAAAAGGAATTCTGTTCTTATATTTCAGGAGTTACGCAAACTGCACATCTACACCCCAAAATATCTGCTTCTGCTTCCACCAGGGGGTGGGGGGGGAGGGGGGTGGGTACTCCCTATAATGGCCTGTATGGGGAGGCTCTGTCCAAAAGGGGTACCTTTTTCAGGCTTCAGGTATATTGAAGGGTAATGATTTTACATGTTGAAGTACATGAAAAGGTAGAGAAATCGGAGTATCTTACCGCCGCCACTACATGGACTGAACAAATAATACTCGTGTTTTGGTTAACATCTCTTCTGGTCAGTAATACATATGGGTTATTGATGAAGTGTGAGGTCAAGATAGCTGGGTATTGGCCAAGTTCTTTTTTGCGTGTTTATGGACCGAGACCGAGTCGAGGTCCATAAACTCCAGCCATCTTGACCGAACAAGCTTGGTCAATAAAGGATTTATTATATGGCTTTCGGGGAAACTTTTCTTGCGGGACGCACCGGGTAGTCCTGAGTGGGCAAGATAGCTCCATCTTGCCCACCAATAGCCAATCACAGCACAGGATCTGATTCATCTTGCCTGCTCACGGAGCTAGTCATATAATAATTGGTGTTTTCACATGATATTGTCCCTAATTTCATTCCAAGGGTTTATGCAGTTTTCTAAACTAGGCATGCGAAAGAGGTACCTTTATACAAAAGGGGCAGCTTTTCTATGAAAATGGTATACAAAAGGGTAAGGGGTTGAACCTCGTGGCAGAGGCTCCCTGTATAAAACTTCCTAGAGTGCCCACTCTCCTCCCCCCTCCCTTCAGGATCCATAAGACTTCAATTGAAAATAACATTAGAGCTCAGGAAATCTATAAATGTATGAATCTCAATTCTTATCCAGTATATTCTTTGATCCTTAACAAGGCAATACAATTGCAATGATCTCTTTTACCGAGTGTTAACAACTGGATGCTTTCAAAAAGCTTTCAGATCACAAATCAGTACGGAACACCATTTTACAAAATTTCTGGAAACGGAGACAGTCTCGCAGGTATAGCCAATTTTTTGGGATTTTTTTTTTGGCATACTACTATTCCATTTGATTTTCCTCCTGGAAAATCCAATATTTTTGGCTGAATCAGGTTTGCTTTTAAGAAATACAATTACAATTTCCAGATTTTCTAGAAACTTTCTCAGGAAATTTTTGTATCATTTGTCCCCATTTTGAAAGCTTCAAATTTTTGGTTGAATGGAAAGTGCTCCAGTCATTAGGTTTTCCCATAGAATTACAAAAATCGACATGCAATATGGTATGCATGGAAGCCATGTGGAAATTTTGAAATATAATTTAATCTCTGTATTTGAAAAGCTGAAATGTTTTACTCTAGTTGAGCATCACATAATGCAATATCTAGGGATGCTTACCTCATTACGAATTCTCTCTTTCTCAGTCCTTATTTGTTGCTCCATCTCCTCGTACAACCTTTGAACTTCTTTGTCATGAGAATTTGCTTTGCTGTATTGAAACGAAAAATGAAGCAGTAAAAGACTTTTAGCATCAGCAACCAAGGGCACAGGGTTTAGAAAGGGTGGGATGGGGTGGAACACAAGAAATAAATACTCTGACCTCAAGAGAATTGAGAATTTAAAGTATATTGAGTTACCCCTCTCTTTACAAGAACACAATTGTATACATATTCTCATTTCCATATCATCTTGCCTTCAACAGCTTAAGTTGAATTTTTTATGACATAATTCATTTTTTCAGAGTTTTCAAGACTAGGAAGGAGAAAGAGCAAAATTAGTGAATTGACCTGGCACAGAATGCTCTGGAAAAGAGTATTCTTTTCATACGGCTTCCATCAGCTAAGCGGGCGTGTTAGTCAGTCGGTATTCAGCCCACAGTTATGTGCGGGCTGTCTTGCATTTCCTCTGCTCTGCTCACAAAGCAAAGTATGTAGGAGACCTCTACATTTAGGTGAGCAATATTAAGTTTGGTATTATTTTAAATATATACATATATCTGCCTCTCTAAGAGGTTTTACTCTGTAAATCTTTGGGTAGGGGTGTGCCACTGGGACACTGGAACCTTTACTGTATACGAGAACATGATTAGTTTGATTTTGCAACCCGATTCTACACAAGGCACCAAAACCCCCCACCCTATCCCAGACTAGCTATTTCACATGCAGACCCTTTATCTCTATCATAGTCTAACATACACTAACTAAACCAATATCTAACAAAGACACATCTTTTTCAGTAAATTTCTCACTTTTGAGTTTCAATTTCTGTTAATTAAGTTAATATTTATACAACCCTGGGTAAAGAACCCTGTTCTAGACTTAATTATATATACCCTGGCCATGTTCCCGGTAAATTTTACCCCACATGTATTCTAGTCTAAAACTGTTTAATTTCTTCACCTTAGTATTCCAGACTTAACTGCCTGAAAACCATACCCTTCACAGCGACACATACCCATATAGCTTACTATGGCAGTACCACCTGTGTTTCTGCCTCAGATATTTAGCCATACAGTCGACTATTGCAATATTAGAAAACTATCTAACACTGATAGCCCAAGAAAACCTGAAAATAGTTTACAGTAAATGAATATAGAAGAGTACAAAAGTGATTTGAGTTGAGGATCCTTGGGTTCACTACACACGTGCTCCAGGGATTCAAATGAGCATGAACTTATTGATTATTGAACTAGTTTTATGGTTGACATAGAAATATGAACGTCAGATGAACCGAATCCGGAATTTCCCAGATTTTGTTCGGAAGCAAGCTTTAAGTATGTGTATCTGTTGTTGACTGGATGCAAAATGTGATCAGTTCAGAACCACTCCACAACAACCCCAGGTAGAGGGTAGTGGGTGAGCCTGAATAACACTCTGGTTAGTTGGAAGAGAACTCCAGTTAGCCTGTTTATGGTTTGTTCTCCATAATGGTGATTCCACCCCACTCCCCCCCTATCACCCCTCAAATGAAGAGTTGCACCAGGGCTGTCACTAAGTTTTAATTCACTTGTAATCGAGATCTTCACACCTGTAACAACTTGTTACTTTATGTGTGAATTGAATCAACAACAAGCAAGTCCACCGCTAACATCAAGCGCCATCGCCATCAAGTGTACTCAGCCATAACAGGTGTTATGGGCTACAGCCCTCAGTGACAGCCCTTGAAAACCCCTTAAAGAAAAACTTAGGACAATCAAAGTGTACATAAAACAATAGGTACCAAGAGAAGAGATCAGTATTCACAACAAAAATCAAGTTAAAAAAAGTGAGTGAGCAGATGAAATATAAGGAGTTGACGGAATGAAGATATGCCTTTTGTTCCTAAATGTTGCTGTTATTTTTTGACATGTTCCAATCTTTAACCCTTAAAAGGGGGGTGGCCAGAATTACTAACTATTGGTCTACCAATCCCATTAAACAAAATGCTGTTTAACTTCAATCCTATCCTCAGAAAATGAGAGGAAAAGTGTCGTCTTTCAAGTTTCAGAGGAATTGAATGATATGCTAATTATATGAATATCAAAACATCCTCTTAAGCTTATTATTTCTATGGGGAACAGATGGTCATTTTCTAGACAAAACATAACAATATTCCTTATTCATGAGCGGTAACTTTGTCCGAATGCTCAGACTTTACAATTAAACAACTAGAACCGATAACTTATGAAATATTAAACAGAGGTCATCAAATTAAATATAGTACAATTAATCGCTCTTAAGCTGTAAAGGAGATGCGTACCTTTTGAGGGCAGACTCGAGCTGTTCGGAGTCCATTTTAGCTCGACGGATCTCACCAGACACCTTGCCTAGAAACTCCTCGAATTTCTGCAGTCCGCGTACATCGTTTTTGCGAAGAGCCTCCCAAAGGTCATGCAGCTGATCCTTTGTCAGCGATCTAAGCAAAACATAAAGCGGTAAATAAAACAATAACGAGTGTGATTTGACCAAAGTGAGCAGTTTGAAAGCAATTACATAATCTGATGATAAGATAAATATCGGGATAAATTACGCTGCTGGAAATAGATTTTAAAAGCAGCTCGGATTGATTCGTCCGGCTCATTCCTGGCAGGTGTAGACCCGTTGTTTGTCTACTCTTCGATTTTTGATCAAAACGCATCACTTAGGCAATCACTTTGACGGTGAAAATTTGAAATGCAATAGGTAATTAAAAATTCAACTGAAACTTGCTCGTCGCTAGAGACGTTGACAATTTGTTGTTGATTTCACGCCAGGGCTCACGGAATTTTTCACTCGGAAAAAAATTCTCACACTTGATTGTCAAAGTTAAAATGCCTGAAATTGTAGAACGCTAGGACTTATTGCCTTTTTCTTTAAACAATATGACAACAGTTCAGCCACTGTTGTTTAATGTGATGAACAGGCAAATAATACCTGTTTACAATACAGCCTCCGTATAATTATAACCTGGAGTTTTTCCGCCTTTTGTTAACGATGGTTTTATAGCTATGCTAATCGCTTCCGCTCATAAAAGCAAAACCTTTGAAGTGCATTTCAGTGAAATCGAACGTTTGATCGGAGTGATCGCTTGTTCGAAAAGCCACGAGAAGAAAAGGTAACCTATCTGGCTAGAGACACGTGTAAACAAGCTTTTCTTTCGTCGGATTTAGTGCTGCAGGCGATATGAACTTAACAACGTGACAAATTAAAAGGTTCGAAGCTGTACCAAATCACGACTATCGTTATCAAGTGCGCTCTTTCCAAAACACGCTTTCAAAAAGAAAACACACACACACACACGAAGCAATAATAACAATGAGAAGTTTCAGCTGTTATTATAAGCTCGCCGAGGCGCCAAATTTGATATGCGTAAGTATCAACATAACCCGTTAAATGGGCAATCCATAAACAGTGACAAGAGCTGTAACTTTACCCCGTGAAAATGTCCTCTCCGACACTTTCCACAATTTCTCGAAATAACGCATCTTCGGATGCCTGCGTTGGAGATTCTAGTCCAGCTTCCAAGCTTTCGAAAATGTCATGCCCGTCCGGTGGGCCTTCCTTTGTAAACTCATCTTTCAAATTGGGGTCGTGTATTGACGAGTTGAGTTCCGACGAACCGTTATTGCCATCGGCGAGAAATGCGCCAAATCCCTCGACGAATTCGTCGAGCGTCAAGCGTCCATTTTTGTCAATATCAAGCTTATCAAAAATAAAATCGAGCTGTTCGAAATTCAAGTTCAAATCGTCGGCCACCCGTCCTAAATCCGCTTTCGTGATGTACCCCTTGCCTTCTGGGTCACACAAGAAGAACAGTTCCCGACCGGGATCGCTGATTGACGTGATTTCTTGTAGCTCGCTGTTGCCTTCATCGTCCGAATGAATGCCCAGAAAAAGGCCAAACCCCGCAGTGAACTCCTCTAAAGTCAAGTAGCCGTTCTCGTCGTCATCGAGTTCATTGAAAGTCTGCTTAACTTGGTTCGCATCGAGAGGCAATCCGAGCTCGGCGATAACACCTTGAAGCTCGCTCTCGGTGATGTAACCTTTCCCGTCTTGGTCGCATAGGTTATACAACTCGACCGCCCGTTCTTTCAAAACGTTTTTCAGCTGATCAGGGTCTTCGGCCATTGCTCAAGGCACATCGGCAGAGTCCAAGCCATACAAGAGCGCAATTCGTAAGTGTTTACTGCTGCGAAGATCGGCTTAGCGCTAAAATCAACACACACGCTTCAATATTGCTGCTCCATATCTCCTCTTCGGGCGATACCGGGGTGTTTTTCTCGACGAAACCAAACTTAGCAGTCTGGTATCGAAGCTTTGTTGAACTGGATAATTATGCAGCGTTGCTACATTTTATTTAGCTGTGTTGACTCTCTACTCGTCAAGATCTAAAACATGCATGCATGACTCGACAGCCAGCTACCTAGAAACGTGCGAAAACTCTACTCTCCGGGGGAGGCAAGAGGCGATAATTTGATGAAATCGACGAGCCAGGGAATCTTCCCTTGTGTTCCAGAAGCATTCAACGCGGAAAATAGCCACAAATATCTAATCAGGAATCCCAAAAATGTTTTTTCCAGTCTGACAAGCACAATATCGCGATTTTAATTGCGTTTCTTTTTTATATCATTACATAAGTTTATGTTTAATTCATATCGCTGTATCTTTCGCGATAAGGGTGATCGTATCACTACAACTTACGAAGTAATTTGTTTTTCTTGAAGTTTTAGGCCGCCGGCAGATAGTATTAAAACTTCATCACATGCTTTGTGTTGATTCAAAATTCATGATTGGCCCCATCATGAATTTCTATGAAATGTAAAAACATTTTGTTCGTTATTTCGGACAGGAATATAGCTTTTTTTGAAAAAGTCACAGTTAAGTATATTGGCTTTACATCGAAAACAAATAAAAAATGGAAGACTAATATTATTTACACATAAGTCATGATAAAATTCAGTTTTATATAGCGTTCATGAATCATTTGAAAACGAGCAGTTATTGCACTGCAGGTCCGAAGAAGAAATACGAACTTCCTGTCACGGAGCAAAAGCGACCTCTTGAAAGAGTCGGGTCAGACAGGGCCGATGCAAATTGGTTATATTAAAACGACAAGAATAACAAAACAAAGACGTGTTTGCCTTTCTTGTCAATCGATTTCAAAGGTTGCGTGACAAGCGAAATTGGGTTGTTACGAAAGTAGGGAACTAATGAGTAGGTAAGACCCCTCCCACACTATGCCGGAAAAATTTGAAAATGGCGTTTTCTCCCTGAAAACGTATCAAATGTTTTTCGTCCACACAACGCTAAAGATATTTGAAAACGCAACAATCACCGGTCATTTCGGATTTGTGCTTGAGGAAATCACATGATCATCGTGACGAAATCGTTTTTGAAAAGCTCCGTTTTCCAAATGTTTTCCGTCCACACCAAATCGCAAAGCCGGCGTTTTCAAAGAGCGTTTCCGTTTTCGTGACGGATTAGTGTGCAAGGTAGGCCTAACAAATAGAAGTAAAGCGGACGGGGCCTAGAGATTGCATGTCCGCTCGATCTGACTGAGCAACAGAGCGAATCACGGCGAGCTTAGCTCAGCTCAACTCACACAATTATTTTGTTTATTTATTTATTTATTTATTTATTTATTTATTTATTTTTTACTACACTCGTAACATAATGAATATCATCATCTCTACCATATCACTGAGCTCAAAATTTTCATTCTTTCATTATTTTATTTTAGTTTCATTATTTATTTTAAAGGATTGTAAGCTGGTGAGCTGTCGCAGCCCTTGACCAGTAAGTCGGGGGTGTGGCGGCTCACCTTATTATATAGCTGAGCGTATTTACAAAAGCTCATCTTAACGGACGATTATTTTACCTATGGACCAAGTAAATAGCCCATTTGACCATAGTTTTCTCTCAGAGATACCAGGGGTTCGAGTGCCAGTATCTGTTCGGTATCTGGGGGGCTCGTCAGGGACACAGATTTTCAGTCTTTATGTGACGCTCGTGTCGTAATGAACATTTCAACGCAAAAGAATTCATATGTAATTTAGAAGTATAAATAAAATTTTTCATTCTACAGCTAATGTACCAGCATGTCAACAGCTTCGTCAAATATTTAGTTTGGTTTAATCCACTGGATCAAGATCATGAATTTCATCAACCACTGGGGTGCTATTTTCCCTTAGTCCCCTTATGTTATAATCTTCCTAATCATTACATGGTAATTGAGAACTTAAACCATAAATACAGATGGGTTTCAAGTGCCTATTTAAAGAAAATACAATGACCGGCCGTGGAACAAATGTCCGCTATTTATAATGACTTTAATCTGTACGCTCTGATTTGTCGGTCCGATTTGTCGGCAATGATAAATAGAAATTTGTCGGCCCTCTGACCCGGAGGAGGCGGGGCTACTCTCTTGTGGGCTATTTAGGTAGGTGCGGCCCCAAAGAGTATCGGTTTTCAGCCGTTTTGGTCAGAAAGAGGGAATCGATTTTGGCCATTTTGGTCGTTAACAGGGTATGGTTTTTGCACTCTAGTATAGTCTTATATATACTATACTCTAGTATAGGCGTAAATCTGCGCCGCTGTCACAAATATTTCCGAATCGGCCGACTTGTTAGATTACATTCCATCGGATCGCAATTTACACTCGCCGATGGGCCGTTTAATCAATCGCATCCACCAGGTCAGGGTAAAGAAATTATATCGTGTAGTGTAAATAGAAACGATACATTAACATCCCCATTGGGAGTGCCCGCGAGGTTTGATGTGCCCCAGAGAGAGGAAATTTGACGCTAGTAGTATTAGTGGCTGCTATTGACGTGGAGAATGTGGCACCATGTGGGAGGGGCAGCGGATAATTGGAGCAAGTTGTCTTAAAATCACACGGCGAAGCCAGAACACATCATATTTATAAGCATGCTGTTTGTAGCATCGTGTGAAAGAAAGGGCTTTTTTTTTACAAAAGCTTGTTTGAATGTGAATACAAAGTTTTGCTTTTGAAAGTTTGATCATCTTTTTTATTTTAATAATATATCAAATAAATAGAGTGTGTTTACGTTACGTCACCAAATTCTCAAATCCAAAACTAAAGGGTCACTAAAGGTTTTATCCTCATCAGGCATGAGAGGTACTAAATTTATATCTGTTTACGACTTTCCAGCTCAATAGCGTCACCAGCGCATTTTGAATTTCGGAGTTATGGGGGTGCGTAACACGAAGCTAAGATCGCGTTTGTCGAAAAATATACACTTATCTCGTGGTTTTTAGCCATTTTGGGAGTTAAAGTAGAAGGGAAAAGTGCTTGTGTAAATGTTTTTTTGGTTCGGTGTAGATAATCAGTCGTCTAGATAGCCAAAGTAAGTTCCAGATGTTTACACTATTTTCCGGCCGCCATATTGGAGGACTAGGCTCTATAATTTTGCGTGGAACATTTCGACGAATATCTCAACTTTGGGTTTCTTATTTGCCGGTATATAGGAGAATCTTTGTTTACAATATTTGCCTCATTACCATAAGCGATACAGTTTCTGATGGAGCTACAAAGAGATTCATACTGAATATTGAAAGGGCACAGCACGATTAACTGTCCCAAGGAATTTGAGCGCGATGTATCGAATACTTTTTGTGCGACGAGGGTTTAAAAGCTCAAAATTTTATAAAGAATGTACGAGCTCATCAGCGCTTTTGCCACACAGAAATTTTGATGTTTTTGAAAGTCAATTTCTCCTCGAAAATTACACCCAAAGAGCTAAAAATGTCACCACTTACTAAGTTTCACAAGCTGTTTGAGTTTTTCTAGTAAAATCGTGTCTAGCATGATGCCTTCTATGCGCAAAGTCGTATGTTAATGAGGAAAAATATAAACAGTGACGCCAGCAAAGATTCACCTATAGATTAGCCTACACGCGAAAAACACTGGTAGCTTTTTAGTATGTTTTGGGAGGAAATTGAAGACTTTGTAACCTCTTAAAGTTTTCAAGAATTGTCCTACTACAATCAGGGACAAAAGTCTTGGGACAAATTTGAACTTTTGGTGCATTTGGGCACACGCCAGACGCAAATACAACTTCTTCTGCCTAATCTCGCCTCCACCCCNCCCCCCCCACCACCCCACACACACAATGTTGAAAACTACTACCTGCAATTTCTTCTGATTTTCAACATTGTATTGGGTGGGAAGGGGAAAGAGCAACGCGTTTTTAAAAGGAACGCAGCGCTTTTTTTCAAACTTCAGTAGTAAAACACAGATAATTCATTAAATTACATAAGTGTCCCAAAGACTTTTGTCCACGATTGTAGTTATAGTTTTCAGGTGAAAACTAGACACAACGACCTCTTTTATAAAAAAAAATCTGGCAGTTTTGTAGAGCACCACTTTAAAAGGTTCGTTCGCTAGTCAGCAGTAAATTTTAGACGTTTTGTGTAGCGGTCCTTAATCGTCAACAAAATTGAAACAAACTTTACAGAAAAAAACAAGAAAAGATTTGTGCTTGTATGCGTTGCCAATATATACATGCAAAGAGGACTGCATGGACACCGAGATAACTTCTGCTATCCCTTATTATATTTACAATAGTTAGAAAAGATAGATAGTGTTCCATTCCGCCAGACTCACATACTTTCAAATTACAAGGGTTTTACCACAGTTAATGCTGGAAATATTCTGGCGTTAAATCTTGGCTTACTATATCACGTGTAATCTTTTGTGCTTTCGTTCTGACTTCTGATCATCTCAGCAAATAGTCCTCCCTTTTTTATCAACACTTCAGGTTTGTCAAACTCTACTACTTGTCCACCATCAAGAACCAGCACCTTGTCGTAATCCAGGATGTTGTTCAGTCGATGAGCAATAGTAATGACTGTGGAATCCTTAAACTTGTCACGAATGACTTCCTGGATCAGACGGTCAGTCTTGAAATCCACATTAGCGGTGGCTTCATCCATGATGATGATCTTGCTCTTCTGGACCAGTGCACGAGCCAAGCACACCAACTGCCTCTCACCAACGCTTAAGTTTGTTCCACACTCTTTCAGCTTGAATTCGAGTTTCCCTGGTAGGTTTTCCACGAGAGTCTTTAACTGCACTTCCCTCAGCCCGGTCCAAAGGTCCTCATCCGTGTATTGTGAGAACGGGTCCAAGTTCCGTTTCAATGTACCTCCAAATAGTACCGGATCCTGGGTTATAACAGCCATGGACTTACGGGCTTCCTGGAGATCGACAGACTCAATATCAATTCCATCGATAAACACCTAAGGAACGAAAAGTGACATAATGATTATTTTCCATTAAATGCGGGCCCAGTAGGCAATCGTCGATAAAGGGATCAAATTTATAATTACATACTAACAGTATGTTACTCCGGACTGAACAAAGGATAGTTCCATACTTAATTGAAATTCATATACCTCAACGCCTTAAAAGTGGAAAAATGGCTAAGAAATCCATTGTTCGTCAATTTAGCTTACGTCTTGTTGGGGGTTAAACACCATCTAAAATTGTACACTTTCATGCCACCACATAAACATCCCTCGCGCGCGTAGTTACGCATTCTTTTCCCGTTAAGGGATAAAATTGAACATGTTCGCTTCTGTTGGTTATTGACATTAATTATGGTTACGAGCGATCTTTCGGCTCCTCCTCCCCCTTTACTCCGCTCTTTGATCTTCTTTGATCCCCTGCTCCAACGAATACTCCTTCATTTTGTTCCAAGAATTAAAAAAAAACCTGCGTTCAGCAACGATTCATTTACCTTTCCTAAAGGATCTGGCATACGGAACAAAGCGGATACCAAAGATGACTTTCCAGCGCCGGTACGACCAACAACTCCCACCTTCTCCTTACTAGAAACATGAACGTTAATGTTCCTTAAGACGCGAGGCCCTCCTTTGAAGTAAACTAAAGAAAGGTCCTTTATCGTCAAACTTCCTTCATTAGGCCAGGACACTGGAGGGCGGGTTTCAGTGTTGTAGCCGACCTCTGGATCCAGTTTGGTGTACGACATGACACGTTCTACTGACGTCATCAAGTTTTCCACTTCTGAAGCTAATCGTACGCCATGTTGAGTAATGTTTAATGTTTGCAGTGCGTAGGTAAGAGCAAGTCCAGCTAATGCTGTGGACAACAAGGGCAATAAAATTGTATATGAACACACCATGAGTAATATACGTGCATAACGGAACTTTTTGCTGAGGAAAACTACAATAAATAACATTAGAGGTGTAAAATGACACGTAAAGGCCACTTTTTCGCTGAAATATAGAACTAAATGACTGGTTTGCCCACTTTTCATGTTCTTATGGAAATGATTGGCTAATTTAGTCCGTGGTAAAGACATAAAGAGGTCAGTTGGGTAAAGTCTCAGGGGTACATGTAAGGGTTTTCTAAATTAGTGCTGCAACGTCCAGCTTGGGCCGGGATCAACTCGACCTCTACTTTAGCTTTGTTTGACTCGCTTAGTTCACTTGCACTGTCTTAAACGGCTTTAATAGGCAGGGCATGGCTTCTGTTAAGAGAGAAGACGAGGTAGATAGCACTCTCAGTACGACATGGCCACATTTATATAGAGTAATATAAGTGCATAAACTCACCAGAATTTTCAGTAATCAAAATGGCGGTCACTGCCACAATCGTAATGAACACACTAGAGAGCAAATCGAGACGCAAACCAAACCAACGACTACAGGACACCACCATAAAGAAAGCTTGTGTGTTTTCGTCCTGATATCTGAAAAAAATCAAATGAAACATTAAATTTTACGAGAAATTAATGGAACCTAACTTGCGCGGCAAAGCCACATAGAAGAATGACAAGGAGAGATAATAGCCATCGAGAAGAGCAATAATTTCTGAGACTGTACCTACTTCGCAATTAGCATATCAAAAGCCTTTTCTGTTCATTGTTCATTCTGTTTATTTGCCTTTTTACCTAAAACAATAGTTATAATTTATAAATATTTCAATGTATGGCGAGGTGACCTCGAGAAACCTTCAGGCTTTTAGTTGAGGCCACCTCGTACGTAACAATACGGTTACATAGATAGTGCTGCAGTGTGCGGCTTTGCCAGTTCAGCAATTATTCTACTAGAAACTCTAGCAGTTTTTTCTTAAAATTGGGAAAACTTGACAAAGAAGTGATTATAACAGGAAGGGAATTCCAGATCTTTGGACCTTGGTAAAGAATTGTGAATTTTTTTTCTTCTGTCATTTGCCTGAAATCACCGGATTTGTGGCCGAATTTGGTTACGGTACCTTTTTGGTGCTCTTAATGTTCTCGGCATGGTTATTTTGGCCTGTCTGCTTTTCGCTAAAATAAAAACCGTGACTCAAAAATCGCCTGACATGACGCTGAAGCATATTACGAAAAGAGGTCCGTTCGGGAAGAGGCGTATTCCGCCTGACGTTTGGGGTACAAGGAGGACCTAGTAAAAATTGGTTGTGATTTCTTTTTAGCTTATAATCTACAAGGAGAGTTGTTGAGGAGGAGTCAATTTGATTTCAGACCGCAGAGTTAATCCTCACCAAACGAGAACAAGGCTAGTCAAAACGAGTGGTTTCCAGTGGTATAAAAATTGTGGCAAGGATACGTTTGCTTCACATGAAAACCTTGGAGAGCGACATACCTCTCAAGCCTGTCCAGAAATGTCCTGTTCATGTTTGAAGTGTGAACTATTTCGAGTCCTTTTGCTGTTTCTGTGATGTGTGAGTACACAGGACTGCATTTGATGGCCTCAATCCTCTTGAGTTCTCTGGAAGACTTCAGATAATAGCGTGCAAAATAACTAAATAACATAACAAATGGAAGAAGAGCCAAGAAAAGCCAGTAGTTCACCACAGCGGGAACGATTGTGACACAGATCGCGAAGAGGCAAGATATACAAGCGTGAAGAAATATCAGTGGCAGCACATCGTCCATGCAACCAACATCTTTGGAAAAGCGATTCTGGATTCGCCCTGCTGGGTTTGTGTCAAAAAACAACACAGGTGCTTTGATAGTCGACAGCGTCATTTTGTTGTGAAGGTTCTCAGCTGCTTTCAGGAGGGTGTAAGTGAAAAAGAAAGACGACACTGCCATGACAACGATGGACACCGCTACCAGAGTGGCGTGAATAGCTTGAATGATGGGTGCTTTTTGTTGCTCCTGTGACATCTCTGCCATTCTGGCCAACCACCAGTTTGGAGCTATGAGGCAAACTGAAATGGGAATGACGTTAGTCGATTAGTTATCGGCCAATTTGCTTCTTAGTTTGCGAAGAAAAGGTGCACTTGTGATGTTACCCATCTACAGGGGTTGTTTTTAGTGAAGTAGGCTCTCTCTGTTCTACACGCGAATTTGTTCAGCTCAGAAGTTTGGACAATCGCCATCATTCTTAGACATTTGGGCTCCAGAACACGAATTACGTTAGTTGTTGCTAGCTAAAGTTGAATGACATGAATGAGAAATATAACTAAGGAGTCAGAGTATATAGAGAAAAGGCCAACAAGGCCAACAAAATTGAGGAAGCTCACCTTGTGCCAATATCAATAAAATGACAAGGGTGATTATCATTGGAACTGGCAGTCCTTCCCTAAAGAAATTCCAGTAGAGTCTCCAGTCAACAGTTCCAGCTGTTTTACTTTCCTCCTCTTCCTTCAGATCAAGGACTGTCCCGTGTTCATCATCTTTGGACCAAGACGTGGTTGAGAGGACAGGAAAGTTGGTAGTTTGAACGTTCAGTTCATCGTTCATATTAACATCGTGACCGTTTTCACCCTGCGGTAGTTCTGGCAATTGTAGGTCACCTTCAAAAGCTGCGTTGTGTTCACCTTCAGTGTGTTTTATAACCGGGGCTAAAGGAATTGAAGGTGTATGAATCACCCTTTTTGAAACCACTGTATCACTATGCTCATCAAGTCTATCCTCAAGCATAGACTGATCTTCAACGGGCTCAGACAATTCCAAAATTTGTGAAAGTATTCCCTTTTCTTTAAGCTCCATATAACCTCCCTGATGAACGATTGAACCGTTTTCCATCACAGCAATGTCGTGGACGTCTTTCAAATACTGCAACTGGTGGGTAACAAGCAAACGAATGCGACCCGATAAATGGCCGACTATACAGGCGTCAAAAAGTCTTCTTCCCACCTTAATATCAACTGCACTAAAGGGATCATCCAGCAGGTAAATATCAGCGTCTGAATACACTGCACGAGCTAAACCCACACGCGCTTTCTGACCTCCACTGAGAGTAACTCCACGCTGTCCAATTTCCGTCATGTCTCCATTGCTGAAGACGGCCAAGTCTTTCGTCAAACCACACACGTGAACAACATTTAGAAACTTTTCCTGGTTAAATGGCAGACCAAACAAGATGTTCTCCCTTATAGTCCCAGAAAACACCCAGGGGATTTGAGGAACGTAGGCTACTTTTCCATAAAACGATACGTGTCCTGCACATAGAGGTAGTTCTTCAAGAATGGCTGTTAGCAGAGAGGATTTTCCACTTCCTACTGCACCTGTTATCGCTAACATGTTATCGTTACATCCGACATTTAAGGTGATGTTGTTTAAGGTTTTGGCGCGGTTATCTTGATTCCATGAACACGATGCATCAGAAATTAACAGATAAGGCTTTCTTGTGTCTGAGAATAGTTGATCCGTAAAGGGATGTGACAGAAAGTTACAAAAATTACTCGAAGTATTCGTGTCAGTGCTTTTGAGTGTCGGAAACTCGTCTCGTATCACGTAGTTAGTCAATTTGACGACTTCCTTTTTCTCGCTATTTTCAAATGGGACTGCAAGGCTAGCGTCAAGATTCAATTGTCTTGTTAAAGGCTTAACACACGTGTTGTGTTTTTCGGGCTCTTCAAACTTTGATACTTCGCCATTAAGAAAAATCTGCGTTCTGTCAATCGCCACTTTGGCATCTGCCACTTTGTGCATGGCTATACTCAAATTGTAGCAAAATGTTGTCCTTAGCGTCACTAAGCCTAACAGAAGAGTGAATATCGTGGCTGATGATAAGTGAGTTCCTGTCAAAATCAGCGTGGCTGCTGAAATCAGAGCGGCGATGGGAAGTGTTGTGAAAAATAAAACAACCACCATTGAGACAATGATACCTTTCAAACGAAGAAGAGCCATCTCTTTCCTGAAAGAAACAAAATAAATTTAGTCACTTGGATCATTATAGTTGATCATCATTACCTCGAGAGGTCGCAAATCTAACTTATCTTTACAAAATTTCCATCCTGATAGAAACTGACGCGCACTTCTTTCAATTTGGTTCTTTTGTTGAAGCTACTGTTGTTGATAAGTTTAGGCCCATTCTTTTTTAGAGCACAGATAAACGAGACGTTATGTAATAATTGGCTCGGAAGCAATAAATATAAGCATTTCAACGCGATCCAACTCGGTTTTCGAGTTATACTTAATTAGGCCTCATATGCACTCGAACAAAGCCGCGCAGAAAGAGGGTGTTAGGGAACATTTTTACTCCCTGGTGCTGTCATGTCTTGTCAGGGGTGCACACATCAAATTTGGCTTCAGTGATGTATCACAAAAATATTACAAAGCTACCTTTTAGTCAAGTGTTTTATTTACCTGCGAATCTCGCACACAGCGTCTCTGAATTTCCACTCCCAAGCATACATCTTCACTGCTCGTATCCCGGTGATGATTTCATTCATTACCACGAGCCGTTTGTCTGTAAAAGCGGCCGCCATCTTCCTGAGCTTAGCAGCTTTTTTTACCATTAACATTTGAAAGGCAACTAAAACGAAAAATATGACTGCACCAATTAGAGCCTCCCAACCAATCAAGTACCACAGGATTATCAAGCCGATTACGAGTTCCAGCGGTGCAGATAGCATATAACCCATTTGGTTCAAGCTCTTCTCAATTTTTTGAGTGTCATTGGAGACTAGGTTGATCGTATTTCCAGACATTGTTGCTTCCAGGCTGTAACGATTTAGAGAAAGAACCTAAAATGTGAAGAGAAATGGTAGTTAAGACTTGGCGGTGGCTTATTTTTCGCCTTTCCATAAGGAGAGTCTAAACAACTGTACAACGTTGATGGCCAAAAGTGAATTCTAACGAATTTTAGTTTTTTTACCTGTGGAAATATGTCCTTAGGCCAAAGCAAAGCAAAACAAAAAAGCGGGGATCTAGGAAGACTGTCGCAGCCTGTAAAAAGGCTGATAAATTCTGGGCAGTAACTGTCTCTTATCTCAAAAAGGGCGCATCTTCTGGCCAAATATTATCTCAAATAAGGAGCTTTGCAGAAAAACTGATTACCAGAGTATTGCCATGGAAATCAAACGCGCAAGCGAATCCGGTCGCTGGGCCACGTACTAAGAATGGATCAAGCTCGTATTCCAAAGGTCACCTAATGATGGACACATCCTGACCAAAGGAAACCTGGTCGGCTAAAAACCAACTGGGACCGAACTTTCATTTCTGAGCTCAGCTACGTAAAACTCACTTGGGATGAAGCAATACATCTCGCGCAAAAAAAGGGAAGAAAGAGGGGGATTGTTGTTGCCTTATGTCCCACAGGGGAGTGAGTAATACTAACCCCTCTTGAATTACCCTCCCCTGCCCAACTTTCAGATTTTTTACAGTTACAATTCAAGTTGCACTACCTTCTTGTACACGAGTCCAATTAATGCCACTTTCAGCTTCAACCCCCAAAGTTCGGTTGTGTAATTGTAGTGTTGTGTGGATGCACCTTGTATCACGCTTGTTATCCCTAAAAGTGCCACGTAGATGAACGCCCACTTCATGTCCATATTTGGCCCATCATTTAACGTCTTCAACACAAGCCAAAGACATACTGGCAAGCAGACAAAACTTACACACCGAAGTGTTAAGAAAATTATCATCACAAAACGCGATCTCCAGGAAATAAGTCCGACCATTGCCTTCCATAAACGTGGTTTCGTATTTTTTAATTGACTCCTTTTGAGTTCATCGAACCAACACCTCTCAGCTTTTTCTACAAGTACCTCGGCTTTGTAATCATCAAGAAGCGGAAACAAATCCTCATCTGTCAGTGGCCGTTTACTTCCGAGTGTCAACACGTCATTCATCCACCAGAAAAACATGATTGACAGCCAACTTGCCGTTTCTCTTGGGTTGTTTTTCTTTGATACGTTTTCCATGTTTTGGTCCGTTTTTGAAGTGGTTTCCAGTTATTTCTACGTGCGCGTGATACTGTTTTATTCTGATAAAAGGAACTGATATGTCGTCGAGTTAGCATTGAATAACAAGGACTAGTAGAATTGTACTTGTATACTAATGCAAATGCTGCAATCTGATTAGTTGAGCTACTCGTATACTATCAGCCATTATGGTACAGTGCCTGGAGTTCGTCCACAAGATGTAAACGTTTTCTGGTTTCAATAATGTTTTGAGGAAGATTTAAAAATATTATTAGATAATCAATTAATTCTCAAGAATACTAAGTAATAGTAGTTATACCGAGTGGATTACAATTCAGGGAGTAATCTCGCGAGTAATTCAAAATTGGACGAGCGCGAAGCGCGAGAGCGATTTCAAATAACGAGCGTACAAATTGCGGAATTGAAGATGTCTTTTGAGAACTTCCTTTGAGCGAAACTTCTGTGGCGCTTTTCATAAGTTTGGAACATTGCTGAGGAAGCCATTAAAGCGCGCGTAATTGACGTGCGAAAGACTTGGGTATCCAGTTACAAAAAGTTCAAATTGGATACCTGTAATTGGACATCGACGTGATCGCGCGCCCATTAGGTGACAAATAGGCGTACAAAGAAACAATGCCGATCAAGAATTTTGTTATAGATACGACTAATGCTGGACTCTATTTAACAAAAAGATTCCATGTTGCCGTGCGTCTGTTAGGTAATAGATCACAGATGACGTCAAAATGTGGTAAGAGCAAATAAGTGGCACACGAGGCGATAGCCGAGTGTGTCACTGATGTTCTTACCACATTTTGACGTCGTCTTTGATCTATTACTGATCAGATGCACGGCAACGTGGAATCTATTTGTTTATTTAATAAAGAAACAACAGAAAAGCCTTTTTTGTTTTAAAATCTTTCAACGTAACTCGAAAGCCGGCCTTTGCCCACTTTGGCGAACGCGAAAACCATTTGACGTAATCTATTGTTTATACAAAATGAAGCAATCTCATTGGTCGCTATGCGCAGCAAAGAATTGTGATTGGCCCAGGAAAATCACGCCCCTGTCAAACTTGAGTCGAAAATCGCTTCTCGTGGATTGAAAACTTACCGCCAAAGCAGAATTGAACTGCAAAATCTACAAATCTTAAAGAAAATGCTGAAAAGTCAAGTCAACTTTTGTCATCAGAGCAGCCCTGTGAGTCGAAAAGCTTGGATGTTGTCTTGAATATTGCATACGCTCGGAAAACTTGCGGTTGCGGTCAACACTGGAGGCCATTCGACTCGAGTTTTGAATGAAAGGAGCGTTAGTGACGGTGGAAATATCTGTCCTCTGTGGTGGGTGATTCTTAAATCAGTTTGATATAGTGACGGAGACACCTTATAGTTGGGATACAGTTGGCCGTGAGCGGTAGTGAGCTCTCGTTTTCTCGCTACTGTGCCCTGAAACGGACTGGAAAATTTGCGTCGGAAAACAAGGTTAAACTTAAGCCTGCGTGTTTATTTAAATTGATGATGTTTT